CGTAGCAAGGCCTTTGCAAAAAAAGCAAAGGGTAGCATTGCCTTGGCACAAGCAATCAGTGCGGCAACAAAAGAAGCGAGTATGAATTTTGAATAACTTGCTTGGATTTATACCTTGTATATAATTGTACAACTATAAATACACGCATATTTTTGTGTTTTGTAATTTGCTTTGAACATGTTCAATTGGAAGCAAGAAAGCATGCATCAAAGGCTAGCATTGAAAAAAGTTCTATGTAAACTTTAATGAACTCTAACAAGCAAAAAACACTAGATGTCAAACCCACGCAATGTCTATGTGAAACATCAGGCCAACAATATTGTGTAAAGACAGCGCATTAAACAAACATAAAAATCACATTTTATTCACAAAAAATTCATTCAAGACCTGTTTTACGTAAATTGTTTGTGAATTTTATGTGAATTTTGCACTAGCTTGCACGTTGGCTCTGCGCAGCCGTAAGCCAGCACTCGAGCTGTGGGATGTCCCACGCGCAAAGTTGTAAACAAACACCTTGAAACTTGTGAACAAAATCGCGGGCATGGGTTCCCGGCATCCCGTCTTCCGTCTAGCCTACTGTAACACGCGGATCTGCACAAACCATTGCAACGCCACCCGCTTCCGCGAAGCACGTGTCCGGCCCTCGCCAAACGTGAGCGAGTGTCCGTCCCATTTGGCTGCGCAGCGCTGAGCGGGTGCACAGCAAGTGTTCGTACCACGTGGCAGGCATGTGTGCAGCGCTGAGCGGGCGCACGTGAACGCATGTTCGAAAACATTGGTGCAGCGTGTTCCTAGCATTGGTCAAGCATGTGTGCAGCGCTGAAGTGTTCGTACCATCTGGCAGGCATGCGCGCAGCGCTGCGCGGGTGCACGTGAAGAGGTGCCGCAGCTGAGCGGGGTGAGTGGGCACGCGTGAGCGGGCACGCGTGAGCGGGTGCACGTGAGCGGGTGTTTTTACCTTTTGGCAGGCGCAGTGCTGAGCGGGCACGTGAGCGCGTGAGTACCATCTCGCAGGCATGTGCGCAGCAGCGCCGAGGGCGACGGCTGGCCGTCGGTCAGCCCGGCGCAAGCGCACAGCCAAGAAAGAGCAAGACAAAGGCCTGGAAGAAGGCCCATTGGACGCAGCAAGGTGGAGAAAGATGAAGCAAATGGAAGCTGAGTCATTGCAGTTGATGGAGCAAAGCAAGACAGATAGACTGCAACTAGGAGCTGCACCTCCAGCAGCAAAAACAGCTCCTGGGACAGGGAGGCCTCTTTGGCAGAGAAATGGGAAGAGAAGCTGAAAAAGCAGTCGCGCTTAAAAGAAAGCCAAGACCTGAAGGCTGAGCCTGACAAAACATGTGACTCCAGCAAGGCAGGTGCTTGAGGCAAAGCAATGAATGTAGTGCTTGAAAGAAAGCAATGTACTTAGCTGGACAGCAGGCAAAGAATACATGAGTCCCCCTGCAGACCTCGAGCGGCCAACAGAGAGGAAGATGGAGATAGATCCTAAGGAGATTTGAGGTGCTTGAAAAAAAGCAAGCGTGCCCTGAAAAGCTCCACAACAATAGATGCTTGAAAGAAAGCATGGACAGGTTTCACACCTAGGGATGCGGTCCCAAATTGGCTGGGCTGGGTGAGAGCTAGGAAGGGTGATAGGCAATGCTGCTTGAAAGACAGCGTAGCAAGGCCTTTGCAAAAAAACAAAGGGTAGCATTGCCTTGGCACAAGCAATCAGTGCGGCAAAAAAAGAAGCGAGTATGAATTTTGAATAACTTGCTTGGATTTATACCTTGTATATAATTGTACAACTATAAATACACGCATATTTTTGTGTTTTGTAATTTGCTTTGAACATGTTCAATTGGAAGCAAGAAAGCATGCATCAAAGACTAGCATTGAAAATAGTTCTATGTAAACTTTAATGAACTCTAGCAAGCAAAAAACACTAGATGTCAAACCCACGCAATGTCTATGTGAAACATCAGGCCAACAATATTGTGTAAAGACAGCGCATTAAACAAACATAAAAATCACATTTTATTCACAAAAAATTCATTCAAGACCTGTTTTACGTAAATTGTTTGTGAATTTTATGTGAATTTTGCACTAGCTTGCACGTTGGCTCTGCGCAGCCGTAAACCAGCACTCGAGCTGTGGGATGTCCCACGCGCAAAGTTGTAAACAAACACCTTGAAACTTGTGAACAAAATCGCGGGCATGGGTTCCCGGCATCCCGTCTTCCGTCTAGCCTACTGTAACACGCGGATCTCCACAAACCATTGCAACGCCACCCGCTTCCGCGAAGCACGTGTCCGGCCCTCGCCAAACGTGAGCGAGTGTCCGTCCCATTTGGCTGCGCAGCGCTGAGCGGGTGCACAGCAAGTGTTCGTACCACGTGGCAGGCATGTGTGCAGCGCTGAGCGGGCGCACGTTAACGCATGATCGAAAACATTGGTGCAGCGTGTTCCTAGCATTGGGCAAGCATGTGTGCAGCGCTGAAGTGTTCGTACCATCTGGCAGGCATGCGCGCAGCGCTGCGCGGGTGCACGTGAAGAGGTGCCGCAGCTGAGCGGGGTGAGCGGGCACGCGTGAGCGGGCACGCGTGAGCGGGTGCACGTGAGCGGGTGTTTCTGCCATTTGGCAGGCGCAGTGCTGAGCGGGCACGTGAGCGGGTGATTACCATTTCGCAGGCATGTGCGCAGCAGCGCCGAGGGCGTACGTGAGCGGGTGTCCCTAGACGGCTAGCCGTCGGTCAGTACGACTGGCCCGAGCAGGCGCGCAGCGCTGACCGTGTGAATCCGTCAAGACAATTAGCGGGGGCAAGACAATTTTCACCGTGAAAGTTCATTTTTACCGTGGGCAGTTTTTTTACCGTTGCCGTTGCCGTTGCCGTTGCCGCGAAAAGTTATTTTTTAACGGGGAAATTGCCGTGGCTGTTGCCGTGGCTGTTTGCCAAGGTGCAGTAGCTTCGCGGTAATTACTTCCAAACTACTGCGAAATTATCTCCAGCGCAGTAGTTTCGCAGTAGTTGGTTCCAAACTACTGCCAAACTACTGCGGAATTAGCTCCAGTGCAGTAGTTTCGCAGTAACTACTTCCAAAACTGCCGTTGCCGTTGCCGTTTTTGTTGCCGCGTTTTTTTGCCGTTGCCGTTGCCGTTGCCGAGAAAAGTTAATTTTGCAAGTCAATTAAGAAGTCACTAGTTGCCGCGAAATGGGAATTGCCGTTAATCTTTACCGTGGGACTCTCTAATTGTCTTGAGGGGGATTCGTTGGGGAGCAGGTGCACAGCGAGTTTTCGTACCATGTGGCAGGCATGTGTGCGGCGCTGAGCAGGCGCACGTGAATTGATGTTCTTAAACATTGGTGCAGCGTGTTCCTACCATTTGGCAAGCGTGTGTGCAGCGCTGAAGTGTTCGTACCATTTGGCAGGCATGCGCGCAGCGCTGCGCGGGTGCACGTGAAGAGGTGCCGCAGCTGAGCGGGCTGAGCGGGCACGCGTGAGCGGGTGCACGTGAGCGGGTGCTTTTTCCATTTGGCAGGCGCAGTGCTGAGCGGGCACGTGAGCGGGTGACTACCATTTCGCAGGCACGTGCGCAGCAGCGCCGTCGTTCAGCACGGCTGGCCGTCCGTCAGCACGGCTGGCCGTCCGTCAGCACGGCTGGCCGTCCGTCAGCACGGACAAAACGGTCAGAACAGTCAGCACGGCTAGCCGCCGGTCAGCACGGTTAGCACGGTTGGCACGGCTGGCTGTCGGTCAGCACGGTCAGCACGGCTTGCCGTCGGCCAGCACGGCAGCCCGATTACTGCTTGCACGTCTGGTTGTGCAACCACCGGTCAGCACGGTCAACCGTAATCTGCACGGTTGCACGGTCACGGTCAGGATCAAGGTTTTTAAGCCCTTCTGAAAAATGGGAAGCGTGGCAAACAACCAATATTTTTTAAGCATGGGCAAGATTAGACTGGATTAGGATTCCGCCACGCTTATCAACGGCCCCAAGCAATCAGAAGGGTTTTGAAGCAGGTGGATGGTTGACTATGTCATGCGTTGAATTATGTGTCCGCATTGTTCGTGAAAAAGGGTACAGACCTATGCTGCTGAATGATAAAGCAAAGGCATGGATTGAAGTGAGCACCAAGACATGTCCGACCTTCCAAGTAAATCGTGCCTTTGAAAGTATCGGCGGCAACCCCCAACAGGACATGCAGTATGTTTTGCTTGAAGTATGACATTGCATCAAAGTTAATGATTCCAGCAAATTTGCACACGGACCGTGTATAAGTATAGATAATGTGTAGCTAGTATCGCACAAGACATGTGCTCCATTAGGTTCAATGAGCATCAGCAAGGAGCACCACACTCGTTTTATGGGCGAGCTGCGTGTCGACTTCACCCGCTGATTTCGGGAAGCAATTCTCCCTGGGTTGAGATCCCTTTGACGTAACGATAAATCGAGCCCTGCTCTGGCAGGGTTGACATGGCGTCATGTTGAACATTCCCTTAGTCTATACCAGGCCTCCCATTGGTAAATGCTACATTTTGAGGTTGCCAAAAAAAGGAAAACACAAAAGGAAAGGACGTATGACACATCGTATGCTGTCCGCTCGAATCCAAGAAGCGAAAATGACGTACCTGGCCATACATCATTTTTGAAGTCGGCATTTTGCATGGAATGTTCACTTGCGCAACCTCCCCTAACATTGCTCGGGGAGCACCATGGTTTTCCCATAGCGGTTGCTTGTTTTGCCAGCTTGAAGCTTGCGGGGTTCGGACAAAACAGACCATGAATGAATGCACCCCTTCAAGGGGAAACCTAGGCGAGAATGTCTGAGTCGATTGAACATATTCAAACAGGTGCTTGTCAGTGTTCTGGCAACAAGAAACAGGAGTTCTTCAATCCGCAAACTATCATCACACCGTGGATTCTCCAACCTGTCACAATCGATATGTGTTTTTCGTTTCAAGGAACATCTCAGCAAGACGCAAAGAAACACACTTGTTTGCCCGGCCCCTCGGCAGGCAGTGCTTCAAATCGAGGAGCTCACTGCTGGGGGCAGTGCGGCATTACTCTTCGAGGACGGGACAGCGACGGGGAAGGGAGAACTTGACTCAGGGACTTGCCCAGTTTAGTCCCCAAGACAACGAAACTCCCAAACAGGCCCTTGAAGTATCAACTGGTTTAAATATCACCTTTTGGATCGGCCAGTCCACAGTGAGTTTCCATTCCTCACTTATATGTGCAGGCCGCCCTCCCTTCAAGCCAACCTGAAAAGGGGTCTCCGCAAGCAAATACGCACGTGCTATTTTTCGGCTCTTGGGAAGGCGCTGTTGCAGAGCTTCCAGGCCGCTTCCATGCTTGGATCACATTCGCCCGAAGGGTACACGGAAAATCAGAGGTCCGGAATACCCAAAGATGCGGATTCTGGATGGGGGGAAAGATCCTCACAGGAAAGATACCTCCCCCTAGCTTGTGTGTGTGCGCGGTATATGTTATATAATTGGTGGGAGGGTATGTATGAGGTTTTGCTCTGGTTAGTCCACAACGTTGTTGTTTGAAGTAGCAACATTCTTGCCCGTCTTCCCTTTACACAAAAACATCCAGGAGTATTTAAACCAGCAGGGCTCTTGTATTGCTCTTTGCGAGTTTCTGTTTACATATCACCCCTTGGTTGCCTATTTGAGAGAAAGCTTCCTTCAAACTTCCCCACCAGGCCATCTCTGATGGGCGTGGCCGCATGTCGCTAGCTATGGATGTAGCCTCTCAGGGCCAGCTCCATGTTCTCAGACACACGCATCCGTGAGGCGTACCACACCAACTCTCTCGCACACCCACGCCCATTCAACGAGGGAATCGGGCTGAGTGTGTCCGTCTGTTTTGTAGGGTTCCACCTTTGAGCTTGTTGTGAAACAGGGACATCATGAGGAAACCAGGCCCCACTTGAGAGGTTTATCCCGTTTGGAGATAAACTCCTGTCACAATCTGCTTGTTGACCCTGGTTTGGTGCCCTTCCTTTCCTCCCTGAAAGACGTACCCTCGTCCTTTTTGTTTATCTTTCCGCGAGAAACTTGCCATATCCTTTCTTTTGCGTGCCCTTTTCTTGCTGGTGCCCAGAAGATCTCCGTAGGGAATCTGGGACTGAACCAGGTGTCCCCTTAAAGGACACAAAAAAGGTACAGTTTTTAGGTTGTTTCAGTAGTGCCCTTTTACCAGCTTTTTTTGGTGAGGGTTCCCCTACCAAAATAGACCTCCGGAAAAAAGTTGGTACCAACATATTCTAAGCTCTCTACTGCAGAAGCCTAGGTTTCTACGTCGTGTCATTCCCTCAGGCAGAGCTCCGGGCCTCCTGGGCGCCCTTGCTCGTGGACTTCCCGGCGCTGCAAAGCGCGGCGCGCCAGGCGCGAGGAGAGCGCGCGGGATGCGTCTCGGGTGAACCCGGGTTGCGACTTGGCGGTTGGTTTTTCCTACCAATTAACATGGAACCTGACAGGGGCCCCCCTGTCAGGTTCCATGTTAATTGGTGGGAGGGTAGTTGATGTGATCTCTATTAGTTGTTGTAGTTTCCTGCTTGAGCAAAAGCATGTACAAACATTTGAATGCCCCTGGGATTAAGGAAGGTCGATTCGCATTTTTAAGGATCATTTTAGTCCAATGTGTTGTACCTCTAGTACATGGTCACTTGGCGACCCTCCCCCCCCATCACCTGTGAAGCCCACATGTCACGCCCTTTTTTGGTGTTGAAAACTGACGCGGGGAAATTCAACTTTAGCCATAGCCAGAGGGCAGCCACGTTAAACTTAAAATCTCATACCCAAAGCTTTGCGAGCTGGTTTACAGCTGACAAGCGGTGCTTGAACTTGAACCAAAGCTGCAGGGCAGCCACGAGGAACCAGTGTGGGTGTTAGTGTCACTCAATTGGTTAGGCTCTAGGCTGACAAATCTCATGTGTGGTTACTGTAAAAAGCTACGTTTTTGGGGTGGGTCGGGATGGTCACTTTTGGAGGTGAACGGGCAAACCCCGTTGGGTCTTCCGAACCTCGCAAGGAAGCCATGCTACCCCCAAGACTACAGGACATTTTGACCGAGGTGCAACTAGCAAAAGGGCACACCCGCAGCGTCAGGCGGATGAGGGTGGCTGGTTTTCGGCAGTCCATCCCGGGCCGCCCATACGTGCCTTGGTGATGCAAATGGGTGCGTGTTTTGTGAGGGCATGCTTTTATGCTTTTCAGGTTGGTTTGAAGGCAAACCAAAGAAAACAACATCATGTTCGGCGTCCCTCTATTTTGACACCTGCCGAAGTATTGGGTTGCTGTACTAGCACGCGCTACATGTGGCAGGTAGAACTTCAAGGCAGCGCTTTCGCAGAAGCCTTTGTTGGTTGACATGATGTGGCGCGTAACCTGTATAATATATATATAGACACATACAGCTGTATTTACTTCTTACTTATTTGTGTATTCATTGAAGTATGTTAATTTAAACTGGTGTATTTTTGTATTCTATAATCAAAGGGTGTTGAGAAGGAACCTCGGTTGTACAGCTGAGCTAGCTCAATCTAAGAATGCATGCACTTGTGCGTGACTTTTGAGATTCGATGCACTGCGCATGAATATCTAAGAGAAAGATGGCAATTGCGCGGGCTCGGCAATAGAAGCGGGCCGGAACGTTGCCCTGTGCGTATGTGTTGTGTCTCTTCCGCATGTGCAAAAAACCAACTCAGTCGCAACGCTTGTACGGACACGGTCTAGGCGCGGGTGCGTAGCAATTTCGGAGCGGTCTCGGAGACGGGCCCATTGGCGCGGCCTCGCGCACTGCTTCGCAAGCTTCAACAAGTGTGCGACCTGCTTTGAGAACCCGTTGTTTCTTTACGGAGTTCACTTCGCTTGCGCAACCCTCTGCGGACTTTCGGGAGGTCTAAATGCTCTTCCGTTTTGCTGTTGTTTTAGCGTTTTTCAGCGTGCGCAAGCATGAAAGCCGTGAATTATCTAACTCGTGTTTTGGTTTACTTTCCTGGGCTGCTGAATGACACATGGATGCCCTGCTTACAAACATTCATCAAGCAGACACGCAAACACCCAACGTACTGATGGCTGCTACTCCCTGCCCACAAAGTTTATTTGGGGAAAGCCGTTTCCGAAACAGTTCCAGGTCAACGACACATGGCATTGCGAAGGCGGGTTTGCAAGGTGGACCTTCCCAGCACCCAACCCTTTGTCGACAAAGGCGCTTGACATGGTCTGCAGTGGTCAAATCAACAGGGGCCCTGCAAAGCAGATGAAAGCATCCAGGCAACTACTGGGGTCATGAGTAGCAAATCAACAAATCACACCTACCCTAGACCGCGTGGTTGGTACCCATAAAGGAAATCAGGGGGTGGGGCTCATCTATACTATAAGGCGATCAGGGGAGAACGAGCTAACCCGTGGTGAACGTCCCTGAATTGGTTTCTGTCGGGATCTGGCGCACGTGTTAGACACTTTGGACCCGGGTAAAACGTCGCGGGGGCGGCTGGGAGATTCGGCTTGAGGCATGGAACTGGTGAGCGCAGCAGATGCCGGTCGCCTGCCGGAGGAGCTGAGAGGTTTCTTTGAGGCCCGGGCTTGGGAAGAAGGCAATTTTGCAGACCCAACCTTTGGTGCATTTTGCCAAGGGATGTTAGGACTGAACACTCTTTGCCATCTGAGGTTTCCATTAAACCACCAAAAGTTAAAAAAAAAGCAGGGGAGCAGAAAGCAACCAAGCAACAACGGATTGGACCAGGACACGTGTTTTGCCTTGCTTTCCTGACGGCGGTTTGTGAAATTGTTGAAGCGCTCGCCAGGAAGCCCAAATGGATTTCTGCCTGAATGGCCTTAAGAATATCGCCTATCGAAGGTCCGTCGGGGGTGCTGGTATGGGTTTATGACCTACCCAAAAGGGGGACCCTCGAAGAACAAAAGGTCCCTTGATCTATTTGGACCAATGCTAGCCAGAATCAAAAGGCTTTGGCTGGCGACTTTGGGCTCTATCATGCTGGTTCCCTTGTCTGGGTGTCCGGCTTATTCAGGTTGGCAGATTGTTAGTTGCCTGGATATGTGGGTTTGTCTCAGAATGGGTTTGGACCCTTTTGTGTATGGCTAAAAGCCGTCTGGGCGGCTCCCGCATTTTCACAAGATGGTTCTAGGAGGAACCTCATACGAGATCCACCAAACTTTCAGCAACAGACTCGCCGGGACATCCACAATAAGATTCATCCACAAACGTCAGACTGGGAAAGGATAAGGGGTCCATTTTTACGGTGACGCCTTGGGGTTACCAAAAGGAAAAAGGGTCACCCTCTGCCTGAAGCTTGCCAATAGGTTCTGATCAGCAAGCGCAATCAACGGGTGACCTTTGGCCTGGTCTGTGGCGGGCATACGGGGGTGAGGCAGCGCTTGAGGCATGCTAAACCCAGTTTCAGCAGAATGACGGATTTTTTATGCCATCCCTTTGCGGATTTCTGAGGTTGTCCTCAGATCGGACATGGGGCTGGAAGCTCGTGTTACTTGGCGCTGTGGCCCTAACATGATGCACAACAGGAAGTGTAATGCAATTGTCAAATAAGCGAAAGTCGCATGGTTGAATAGGTCATCCCATGGACATACCACTTACGACGGTTTAGAAACCAGCTGCCTTCCATAATGGAATCGTTGCAACCTTTCCAGTCATTCAGCAAACGCAACCTGGCTAAAACAACACGCATCCTTTTGCAACAACAGCCATAAAATGCCATCGTCAGGGCATCGAAGGGGAGAAGCAGCCAGAAGAATCCGGGAGTACAGGCAAGGAACGCGAGGGGGTGGTGTGGGCGGTTTTTGCTTGCGGTGTTTGCTCCAAGTTTAGGATGCTGAAGTCGCGAAGCAAGATGTGAAGCCCCTCTATGTATACATGCCCAGTAGAACTGCGAGAGTACTGCAGATGTATTCCTTGCGCGCATTCCATGTGGTCAGAAGCCTGCAAATTTTGCAGTTTCCACTGAGCCCTTCTAGAGAGCCTGGCGGGCTTTTGCACCTGTAGAGTCCCTGGGTTTTTCCGCTGGTGTCAAAAGATAAGGTCTTTGTTAGGTCACTATCGCCAGGGTGCATTGCTGCATGGCCTCTGAGGGGGCAGGTTGGTGTACTTTCAAACTCAGCTCTTTACTTTTTCCCCAACCGCTAAAAGCTTTGGGGTCTCAGCCAAGATAGGCTCCGGGGTGGTCCGGGGAGGCCCTGAGGGAAGGTTCCACGAGGGTTCCACCAGGGTTCCACGAGGGTTCCACCACGGTTCTGCGCTAAAAAGAGCACCGCGTGCTGTTAGGGATATCACCTGAGCTTATTAGAATGCCCAATAGTTTGTTCAGTTAGGCAGATTCGGGCAGGCCAATCTTTGAGTACGTGCAGGGTCTTGATCGAGCATTGCTAAGCACACGTCGGCTTGCAGTATAAGTTTCAAGCGTCCAGCGCGTTTGTTCTGCAAAACACACGGCATGTGGGTGTCCACACCAGGGCCTTCTTCTTAAAGCACCGAAGAACTCACTCTGAAGGTCTTATACTTGGGGGCTCCAGTCATTATTGTTATTTACGGAGGGGGGGTCAAGGTCTGATTTGCAGAGCGTTTCCTGTGCAAAGTCACGCTAGACTGCTCCCAATTTCGTATATTTGTTTGAGGTCTGATTCTAGCAGTTTTCTAATCACCCGTTGCTGATGATGAAATGATACACCAGCATCCCCTGCATTGTTTGGGCGATGCTGGTATTTCTGGACACGCGGGCTGGTGATGCCAGGGATGCTGGTTCGTGATGCGGGGTCAAAAGTAAACCACCAGGGGACCGCAGGTTTTGGTCCATGTTTCCACTTACCAGGGCTCCATTTGGGGTACTGATTTTTGACCCACAGCCATGCCAGCGTGCTTGTTCTGTGAGTATTGCTTATTTGTTCAGGCCTTGGGGACTGTGTGAGAGCGCTTGTTCGCTATATTTTGATCTGCTTGTGCGCGCAAGTCTGTATTTGTTGTTCGCACTTGCTTTGCTTATGTTGAACGCTGATCGAAGAGGTTGTGTTGACATGTTAACAGATGTGTAAAGAAAGTGTCATTGGAAAGGAACTCCTGTGTACAGTTTCATTCGAACTAAAGTAACGTTCTGTTCGCTAAATTTATATTTTACAATATAAGTTATGTTTGTTGTTTTCCTTGTTGCATTGTGGCTTAATTTCTTTTAGAAATTATGTAGAGATATGAAATAGATCTTCAGAAGGAGAAAGTCCAAAGGTCCAACACCTTTTTGATACCTAGCCCCAATCACTACCATGGTCACAAAACATTGAAAACAACACAGTGCTTTCTAGTGGTGATTGCATGAACTGCACATCTTCACCAACGGCCCCTCCAACACGCACAATTGTAATGTGAGTCGAATTCAACTAGGACTCAATAAGAAAATGCTTAGTCCGAATCCTGCTCGAAAATTCATCTAAAGTATAGAAATTAGTTGGAATACCTTTCCGCATAGAGCAGACTTTCGAGAGTTTTGATAAGACTACTTCTATGTCAAGTTAGACTTTACACGGGATATCCTTTCCAGTAGATGGTGCTTACGCATCAGTCAACATTTAAGATCATTTAAGCACAAGTTAAAATGCGAGCTCAACTCGATAAGCTGGAGTTTTAGGTTGGAATTTCTTTCAATAACACACATCCACTGGACCAGCACTGCCCAACTGGAGAAAGCCAAAACCAAAAAACAGAACCAAATACAATTCTCCCAGAACTGTTGGCATACTCAGTGGCTATCTCTTGAAAATGTGTCTGAGATATTTGTGTCTCTATGTGCTGGTTGGTGTATTTTTAATGATCCGATTAGGCGCTGATTAAAACTTATGTTTTACGCCAGCCAGAATTTGAGTTGAAGTTGATCACCATATCAAGTATTTCAGAGGTGCACTCATGCTGCCATCGCTTTCCGTTGTTGCCATCGCTTTCCCTTGTTGCCCCTTGTCAGATTGGCCAATTGGCCAAACACAGCATATTTACCCACATCCCAACTGGGTCAAATGGTCATTACCACCAGCTGCGGGGAGGTGACTGTTTGAGTCACATTGGCTTGACTGCTATTGGGCAACGGATCTTTAGACTTTAGCTTTTTAAAAACAATCAAGTTGGGTTTTCTGCGAAACCCAAACAAAAATGTTCACTTCTTGCAGGGGGGTCAACAGCAACCAAGATGGCAGGTTTCCCTTACAGCGACGGCTTCCTGGACTCTGTGCCCTTTCTCCAAGAGCTCCGGATGCAGCTCGCGCCCAGGCAGGTACGTCGGGAGTGACCACTTGTATGTGTATAGATTTATTATATACATATATTTATACACATCCACTTTCCCGAATACACAGACGTATATGAGGCTCATATGTATATATATATATAGATAGAGGGTCTTGTTAATTGGTTTCCTTTTCTGACCAACTTTGGTTCTTTAGATCTCTGCATTTATTTCTCCACTGCTGGCTTGGCACTTGTTGTCATTGGTTCCCATATTGATCGCTTCACTTGCCCCATGCGGAGTCAGTTTCAGGCTACGCAGCGGGCTGGCGGTGGACATTTTCATCTCCGGCCTCGGTTTGTGCAGCTTCCTCCTGGCCGGGCGAGCCCAGCTGAAACTTTCCGAATTGAAGAAAATTGCCCCCTTCCTGTAATACCAAAGGAAACTCGTGTGCAACTGGTGGGTTAGGGATCTTTCCTCTTAGCTTCATTCAATCACTGCAGGTTGGTTCTGATGATCCCTGGTGAGTATTTGTGCGAAGGTTGGCTGATTGATTCAAGGTTTCATGACACACCACAGTTGACATGCGGCGGGACCTGGGGCATTCCCTTCTTTCAACGTGCGCAGTGTGTTTGTGTGGGCGTGTGTTCAGGCTATTCAAGGACAGATGAGCACTTCGCCTCGGTGAAAAGGGAATCCTTGAAACACCTTCAAGTTTCACTAGGCGGCAACATAGCGCAAACCCGGCATTGGCTATCTTGGAGACACCCAGATGCCTGACTGCAACGTGACCCGGGAATTGAGAATGAGTTCATGCCGCATGATGTGGACAGCAAACTACTCAGACATTGAATGTGCCACTCATTGGCAAGAAGGGCGTGGAACATTGGCTCCCTGCAGACCATTTGGTAAGTTTTGTCATGCAGCATGTGGAGCACGCAAGACGCAGGCTAGAAGTGTGATCGTGTACACTAGTCGTTTGGACGAGCCCGACAAATGTAATCTGCCCCAAGCGTATCGACCTCGTGTTTGCTGGGTTTCCAGCTAAGGCAAGATAATCTTCACTGCCCAAAGGGTTACACGCAGAGCGCCCCACAGTTCCATTCCTCAAACCTCCTTGTCGCAGGTTTGATGGCCCATGGCCAATACATTTGGACAATTAAGGAAAGATGCTTAGACCGGGAGGCATTGAACCACTAGCGGCGTGGATATGGTTGACAGGCCAAAAGATGAGCTGGAAGAGGTGCTTAGGCGGAAGCATGGACCACAACTCTCTCCTGGCTTCATACAGATTTCCTGACTGTCGCTCCAACAAAAGATGTTTACGGTAGATCCGATCGGCACTATGATCAGCTCCTAGGATCTGTGCAAACAGAGCATGTGATCGTGATTGTCCCATGAAGCACCAAATGAAGACCACGCAAACAAGCCTGGGCGCAAGGCAACGGTGATTCTGGCCTTTGTGCACTACCGCTGCTGTGTGCGAAGCAGTCCAGCGTTGTCGCAAGGCAGCTTGGCCGCATTTGCACTGAGCACGCAGCAGTGCCTCTCAGTGGGCTTGGGAAGATCATATATGAGAAGGGCGTCCAGTCAGGTGCAGTCTCTTCAGTTGAGGCATGTTTGCCAGCTGTTGTTAAGAACAGTCACAAAGCCTTGATTCGAATCCAGAGCTGAAGGCTCTCTTCAGTCGGATATTTAAGCTTGCGTGTGAACTTTGTTGCGTGAACATGGCAATGTGGGTTGCCAGTGTTCAGCTTCAGTATTTGCAGCGTCCGTCCGGTCAATCACTGATTTAGAGCCATTGCAGCGGAAGCTTTGGCAAGGTCATGCTTCCGGGTTTGGTTCTGCTACCCTCTTTTGAGGGTCTTTTTGCTGCCATTCGCGTGCATCGTCACGTTGTTTACAGCTTGCTAATGCAGAGTTGGGTCACTCTGAAAATATGACAAAGTTTCGCATGTGTCAGGCCATTCGATCATTCCGTGAGACGCTATTGAGCATTGCAGGCGATACCTGACCTGGGGCGGCCAGCAAAAGGCAACAGCTTTGTAGATGTAATGTTCCCGTCCACAGCGCAAATCACACAAAAGTCAGTTGTGTCAGCCCACACGGTTCGCCTCGATGGTTTCTGGGACATCCCGACATGTCAGTTGGATCCCCGTGGCCCATCTGAAGCTGTGCCCAAGCCATCCAGAGGCGGCTGGGATGAGACCACCTACCGCGCTGTGTATGTCATCCCGGAGAGCCATCGCTACACTTGGAACATGGGCAGTCCCGGCCCCAGCCCGGCGCCCAGTCTTTCGCCCGCTTAGCCTGAGATGGTTTTTACACATGGGGCATGCGTGTTGCTCACCTAGCTACGTTTGCTAGTTTGGGAAACCTTTAGCAGGATATATATGGTACAGCGTTGCCAGCCCCCCCCCCCCTCCCCCCCCCAATGGTCATGGGTCAGGCAAGTACCCCCCCCCCCCCTGTGGTTGTGGTCCTGTGGTTGGGTTGTGGTGGTTTAGGGTTGGTTTAGAAATGGCTTAGGGTATATTTAGGGTGTATTTAGGGTTAGTTTAGGGTTGGTTCAGGGTTGATTTAGGTTGATTAATGTTGATTTAGGGTTGGTTTAGGGTTGGTTTAGGTTCAGAGGTGTACGGTTTAGGGTTTGGTTTAGGGTGTATTTAGGGTTGGTTTCAGGTTAGTTTAGGGTTGGTTTAGGTTTAGGGTTTATTGTTTAGGGATTGGTTTAGGGTGTATTTGGGGTTAGTTTAGGGTTGGTTGAGGGTTAGTTTAGGGTTGGTTTATGTTGATTTAGGGTTGGTTTAGGTTTAGAGGTCTACGGTTTAGGGTTTGGTTTAGGGTGTATTTAGGGTTGGTTTAGGGTTGGTTTAGGGTTAGTTTAGGGTTGGTTTATGGTTGGTTGCTTGTCCTGGGGGTGGGGGTGGGGGTGTCGGGGTGTCGGGGTGCGAGTTCAGGGGTCGGGTGGGACCGTAGGTGCCAGGATCCGGGGGCTCGGGGTCTCGGGCCGGGGGGGCGGGGGGTCCTGGGGGACCATACCATATGGGGGGGGGGGGGGTAGCAACACGGAACACGGGACCATATATATATATATATACATAGCGTCATGTTTCACCAGTCCCAGCTGGTGGGCCCTGGGTCTTCTTTTTGTATAGTTCTTTGGCGGGGTTCCTCATGATCATAGGTCAAAACAACATTGACACCAGTGGGAACTGTAGATTGTTCAGTTGTTTTTCCGCTTTTGACACCCGAGGCGACATCAGCACCGTGTGCTGCATTTGTTTCTGCCCGTGCCTGCGTGTGCCATTGACCTGGCATCGTGGGGGCGTGCTCAACTACTGGCTAGGACCGCAGAGAGACTGGCCACGCACAGAGGGAAGGGCACAATTGGTTAGGCCCAGACTTTTAGTGGTGCCCTTTGTTTTGTCTTGGCGTTTCAGGGTTTTCCTTTAAAGCCAACTACCGAAAAAGGGTGACCATTGTTCATAGCCGCTGGAGGTCTGTGTTAGAACAAGCTGACGACGGCCCCCACAAGGCCATAGTTTTGATCCAGCCTGGATCCCCTCAAAAGTGTCTGGGCATAAATCCCCATCATGATGGAAAGAAAAAGGCTGTTTGAAAGTATGCACGTTTGATGTTTTGTAAGACGGCTTGAAGGCCCGAGCCGAGCCTTCGCTCTTGACGTATCGTAAGACGTGTTCGGTTGTTCAAGATGGCCGTGTGGCTACCATGGGCATGTCAGGTTTGCAAACGACCATTTGTTCTGGACTGCGCATGTGCATGTGCATGCGTGCGTGCGTGCTTGCCTGCGCGCCAGTGTGCGGGCGTGTCGGTGTGCGTGCTTGATTGTGTGTGCGTGTGCCGTTCGCTTCTGTGCTTGTAGGCTTGTTTGTGCGCACCTGCGCGTCTTGGTGTATGTGCGTTTATGTGTTTGCATCTGCTTGCGTGCGTTTGCGGCGTCTGAATTTATTTGTGCATGTCATCGCGTCTCTGCGTGTGGGCGTGTTTGTGTGTGGGTGTGCTTGTTTGTTGCTGTCTGCATGTGTTTGCGAGTGCTTGCATGTGCTTGCGTGTGTATGCGAATGTTTGCATGAATTTGCGGATGTCTGCGTGTGTCTGCGTGTGTCCGTGCTTGTTTGCGTGTGTCTGCGATTGTCTGCATGTGTCTGTTTCTGTTTTTTTCCTGTTCGTCTGTGCGTATATCTGCGAGTCCATGTTTGCGTTCTTTGTGTCTTTTGTGTCCTTGGTGTCTTTTGTGTGTGTGTATCTGTGTTGTTCTGTGTTTTGTGCAGTGTTTTCTTTTTTCCCATATGCATCGCGGATTTTGGGCAGTGTTTGACGGCAATTTTAGGTTGCTTTGAACATCCATTGTCTCCAACCATGTGGAGGGCTGCAAGTTTGCGGCATTCGCTGGCACGACGCCTTTAAGACATAGGTGGCGTAGGTGTCCAGAGTGCTGACAGAAAACTGAAATGCATCGGTTTGAGTTGGAATCTAGTCAAATTTATCATTGCTATTGTTTTTTTCCTGACTTACGACTTGTTCAACACCCAAATTCCAGTGCACGTGCGCGGTCACTTCCGAATTAATCACCCTGCTAGCGTCACAACCTTGCAAGGGAGGCAAGTGTTGAAAGAGGTTCAGACCAAGGTGGACACTCCTTTGTTCAAGCGCAGCACTTCCGCGGGCGAGTTGTGCTAACGAGTGAGTTGTTCTTCGACTGCAGCTTCGTGGAGTTCAAGGCTAAAGCTCCGACGTCTCAACTTCTGTGCGTCCCTTGGTGCTGGGCGCCTTGCCTTCGCCAAACCGTTGAGTGGCCCTTGGGAAGCCGGCTCGGCATTTGGCGCACCCGTCACACCGCCCGCAAGTGCCCTCCTTTGGGCTTCGCAGCCTTTGGTTGGCGGTTTTGAGGGGCGGGGGGAGGATTTTTTTAGGCAACCGACTTAGAAGCAGCGTCAGGGCAGTTGAGACTGCAGAGGTTCTGACCATCAGCGCTTGGCAACGTACATCGACTTCTGGATGTTGGTTTACGGCCCGTAGTTGTCGTTGCTTCGTTACGGCAATTCAGGTATACGTGATAGGTGCAATCCCTTTCTAGATCCTTCTGATCTCCATGATGCTGCATTTGGGTTCTCTCACAGTGGAGGTGTTCAGCCTGCTTAAGATGACCCAAATTGTTCAAACGCATTATGGCATTGCCCTAAAAGGGGGGGAACCCCCCTTTTGGCGTTCAGGCTAACCAATGAGAAGCCAGCCACGGGTGGGGGTTCACCATGTTTGAGAACAGCATCCTGTCATAACCACTGGACCGTTGGCAATTTCCTCATTTGGAGCCGAAGGTTGGGCGCATTTGCGGTAGAAGTCACTCATTGGACAAATCAAAGCATCCCATTTGAATTCTCACTTGAGCAGTGCCTAAATTCCGAATTGGCGATTTCAGCAGTTCTACTGCCTCATTTCAATGAGGCCGCTATAAACCTTTACAGCCATGTTACCTAACAGATTATGGGAATTCGGCACTTGTTAATTGCATTGAACCAGCGTATGCACAGCAATATTGCAAAAGTGCAGACTCGTTGCAGGTCCCAGTTGTCCTTTGGATCAAAAACGGTTGCCGCCCCCCCCCCGCCCCCGCGCCCCCCGCATACATGAACTATGGGTAAATACGGTTTACCATCTTTGGAGCTTCCGTTTGTTTGTATTAGGAATCCTGTGAGATGCTGAGCCCAGCACTTAAGACACAGGTACAGTAGCAGATTCAACCAACCCAAATCGGGTGTCAATGTTTTTCAATGTAATTACTCGCGTGTGAACCTTAGCATGTTCCTTTCGTTTGGTGAATTGAATATCATGAATCAACATTATCGGGCGACACACAGTTACATAGTAGTTAATCAATCAGCACTTCTCGCCGCAGGATTCTTCGCGTGTTTGCTGGGCCCCGTGTGCTGGTCCTGCCTTGGCTGCACCATGCGAGCGCGCCTTACCGTGGCTTGGCAAAACATGGCGAGCTCCTTGTGAAAGCCTCTGGACAAAATGAAAGTGGGACCCGCTCGCAGGAGGTGGCTGAGGGTCCTGGCCATTGTTGGGTCCGTCTAATGCCGCGTTTGCTTGGCCCTCGGTTTTGCTGGTTTTCTGGTTGTCGTTTAGTCGGGGGCGTCGATTCAAAGCCACTGCTCTTTTCATGGGCTTTTGATTGAATCCACATGATTCTGCTATTGAAATCGCTACGCGATCCGCCGACGCCAGTGGACAGTCCCCTGTTAATAAACTGGGACTGATGTCACGTGGGGCTCTTAACACGTGGAAAAAGAACACACAACGCCGCTCTGACGTCGGCTGCAGGGTGCCTCGAATTTGGGGCTGGGAACAAGACGTCCTTTTGCCTAGGTCACATCGGGCTCTTAACGTGTTGAGGGAGAACAAACAACGCCCCTCTGACGTCGGCTGAAGAGTGCCTCGAATTTAGGGTAAGGAAAAAGACAATTACAAGCAGCGCCCTCTGACGTCGGCTGCAGGGTGCCTCGAATTTGGGGCAGGAACAAAGACGTCTTTTTGCCTAGGTCATATGAGCCTCTTAACAAGTGAAACGATCCAAGCGACGCCCCTCTTGAGTCTGACTTCGGCAGCAGGGCTGAACACTTGACAGGAGAAGAACACTAGGGTCTACTCTTTAAACCAATTTTTGGAAAGGGTATAAAATCAAGGCCGCCCCATTTTTTGTAAGTACAAAGGCCTTTCTTGGCACTTTCCGGTTTTTCATGTCCCAGTGCTGAGGATGCTGGAAATGCAAGGGATGCAACCACACAACTTACAGGAACAGACCCAATTTCCGCGCTCAAGATTTGAAGACTTTCAGACACGCAACATGGACCAAACGCAGAAAATACCAGAGATGTGGGGAATGCTGGGAATGCAGCCGGCTAGCCACAGAAAAGTGCAAAAAACACGTGTTTTTTTTAATATTTCCCAATAGCAACCATCAAAAACCGATACTAGCAACCCCCGCAAATACCCATTTTTTAACAGGCCAATTCCAACATCGATTGAAACAGCAAAACACCGCTAGTATCTGCAAAGAAAAGAGAGACAAATTCATGGGAACAAGGCAATCCCGATGATGATGGGGATGCAGATCCTGCGCGTCCGGGGGAAACCCCCCCCCTAGAGACCTAGGTGAGACGCAGATTTTTAGCACGAAGGACCAAAAGACACTGGACAAATACGGGTTTTGGACACCCAGCACAGCATGCCCAAAAAATAGCAGTCCAAAAGCCCTCGGCTTTGATAAGAGATTCCGAAGGAAGACAAAGTGGCGGACTGCCATCTACACGCTCGACTGGCGTCGGCGGATTTTTGGGGGGACCAAACAAAGGATACCCTTGAAAAGACAGACCCGCATTCGAATTGCCATACTTCGGGTTCTGCAATCAAGCCCAAAGGACTGTCCGGCTTTTGCCTGGCCACTGGCGGCCGTGAGAAGAGCCAGCCCTTATATCCATGTTAATGTATCCCGCTTGGGCAAATAGTGGCGACCTCGCACGGGCATATGTTTGCGGCACCCGTGATGAAGATTCCACACTTGGAGGGGGTTCTGACTTTAGGTTTGTGAATGATAGCAATTCGCTCGGCTACATACCTACAGCATACATGTTTGCCGAGGTGTCGGGAAGTACTACTTAGTTACATTGATTGTTTGGGTAGAGACTTTTTTTGGGACTCCCCTCTTATGGGTTTCTTGCCTCCTCGTATTTGGGTTGGAAAGGTGCGAGATGGTGAACCCATTGTTACAAGCGCATTGTTTGGATAGTTTGTAGATTAATGTGCCATTCCATAATATGCGTGCAGACAGCTAGATGCCAGCTATGACAAGACCAAATCGGCGAATGTAGAAAGCGCGCAGCACCCCAATATACTTCGTCACTGCCCCATCTGCCCGTGGTAAAGGGATCTAGCGGACCTTTTCCAGTCCGGGGTTGGAATGTCGTCTTCAACTGCGCTTTTGCGTTTTCGCACAGCGCCCTTTTTTCCGCTTGTTTGCCGCTTGTCAAATCGACCAAGGGGCAGCGCCCCTTTTTGTGGGAAACCACTGGGCAACCGGTTTTTCCGCCCTGAAACTGTGTCACCGAACTGTAGTTCTTGCTTTGAAGGCTGAAGCTTGCAAGAAGTCGCCCCAGTTGTCCAGAGGCAAACCCCTTGTCCCTTCTTTTTGTGCAGGTTTGTTTGTGCGCATTGCCACTAGGCAATTACGGCTATGTTGAATGCAGCGTGGTCCCTGTGACACAGTTCAAATTTGACAGCGATCGCAAGTGGCCAAGTGAAAGAGAAGACACGTTCTTGATGTTACGTGCGTAGGGCGTTCACTCGTCTGCTCTAGGATGCAATGGGTATCGCAGAACGTTTGTGTTCAGGGTTGATGTGGATGGTATGCAGCTTGCGGCACAGTATTTGGAGATAGCACGCATCCCATTTGGTTCACTGCTTATGCAGGGGATACGCACATCAGTTTCGAGAGATTTCGATTGTATCTCAAGCACAGTTCATTTTAAGGCCTGGAGTATATATTTTGCGTTTCACAATTTCTGAGATTGGCACATCGCATTGACTGAGTCTGGCCATCATCTTACTCCAAACGAGTTGCACATTTGTTGCCCATGGGATGGTCAACAGGTGGTATGACCTAGTTGTTTTTCGTCTAAGATAACCCGGCGGCTTGTCATTGACCACACGAACGGCTCCGATTCCAGGCAGTGTTCGGCATTCCCAGTACCATCGCCTCTCACATCTACAACTGGTGTTGCTGCTGTTGCTGTGCTGCTGTGCAGGTGAAACCGAACCGGGGGCGAGGGCACGGGACAAGGAAGTTAATTCTATGCACACGTTTAATGCGGTTCCTCACGGCGTCTTCCAAACCCCTCGACGACCGTGGCGCTAAGTGCTGACCCGGTGATCTAACAACTTGGTTGTACCGTTCGAACGGTACTGGTTCAATGAGCTTTGATAGCATTCCATTTGATCCCCATGTTCAAGCGAGTTGTCGTGCTGGAGGAAGCTGATTCTTTTTTTTTCCCCTTGAGGTACCGGTGGACTATGAAGTCCAAAGAATCTGCCGTTGAGTTAGCTCACAATGGGCACCCGCAGAGAAGCTGACACCTAACGATGAGTCAAAGTGCGGGTTTCTGCGACATAGATCAGTTGACTGGTGCGACTCTTCCTCCAAATGCAGCAGGTCTGATCATTGCACAGCTGCGGCCTTTCGTCTGACCAGAATGACCAGATTTATGGTGGTACGCAGTAGTAGGTTTAATTCCAAGGTTCAGTGCACGAGCAGTACCAGTAGTGGTTCCAAGTCGAGAAGTTTGCACGTGTGGCACTGGGTGCAGAGACACTGATATGTGAAGAACTCTTAGCCTTAGAACAGTGCGGAGCAGTTGCATTCTCTTTTCAATCAGCAGGTGTAGAGCAAGGTGCTGGGGCAACATAACAAGGCGCCGATTTATACTTTCTTTTTTTTAACACACAACATAGAACAGATATGTATTCATAAAACATATAGCACATAATATGTGTATCTATTTTTTCTACAACTATGTATATATATATATATGTATATATATATATATGGTATGTCATTATATATTTATATATGTATATATGCATACTTGGTATTACATGTACTGCGTTGCTGCAGCAAAGTACCGCGGCCCCTTGTGTATCTAACCAGGAGTCGCTTCACGTGGACGGAGCCCTTCGCGCCATCCACCAGGCGATGCGACCTGGGCAGCGATGCGAGCGATCTTAGTGGGCCCTTTGCTTTGGTGGGTCCTTTGATCGGTTTTGCAAGCAGGTCAGCAAGAAGGTTGCGTTGCCATTTGTCCCGCATTGGCCGCATGGGCCGTTCCCTTGGGATTGCGGCTAGCCTGATTTGTCGAATGTGACACCCACAAAGTAAGTTCATGGTGAGCTTTGTTGAGCTGGCCTTGCCCAGTCTGCACCCTGTGGTATTTCCAGGAATCGGGGAGTTACCATTTGTAAAATGAGTCGGTGATCATAGTATCGATATAGTTGACAGTTGTTTTGGGAATTATACAGCGTGACCACCCAAATACGCATGGCCCACACACAAACACCAGCGGAGCCAGCCAGTTTTTCTAAGTCCTGGGGAGGCAAGTCATTGTGTTTGCTTCTCACGTCTCAATCCACCATTTGGGTCGTTCGTAAGATGTGGTATTCGGGGGGGGGAGTTGTGTCCACATTCCCTATGAAGAACCAACAAGTTGCCAGCTTTGCGCGCGTGAGAGCAACATCAGCGGCTCGTTGCAAGTGGGCGGTCGGGCAGACACGTGCTACTGTCAATCGATAAATCTGATCTTGCCTGTTCAGAGATGAGTTGTGTTTACAACCAGGGATATGAACTCAGTAGAGTGGCGACGAACATGTGCCAGCTTCACATGTGCGCCTTTTAAACAAAAGAAAAGAGAGAAAAGAGCTCAGTATCTTGCAACTTGTAACTCCCGTGCCTTGCGTTCACCCGGTTCCAGTTTGCTTTCCCGGTGCGTGACACGTGCGAGACACCTCGAGACTTGCTCGCGCGAGGCTTCCAAAGAGGCCCAGGCAGCCAAGGCAGAGGTGGCCTCCGCGAAGCGGTCCGCTTCGGACGGGCCGTGGGGGAAGGTTTTCCGAAGATTTCCTTGGGATTGTTGAGATTCCCCTTATGTGTCACCAGGGATTGCTTGGTCCTTCGCATTGCTCTTCCCGCACAGACCAAACATCGCGTACCATTTCCAGGCTCTTAGTGCTCTCTCAGTCCTTTTGGGGGGCTGCAAAACGTCCCAAACGTCCAAATTTGGCTTTTCCTGAGTTGCCCCAGAAAAGGCCATTCTGCTTGAGTTTCGCGTGGGAGGGGTGATGCTTGCCAGGAAGCTATAGGGCATCTTGACTGTTGTGTGCGTGTGTACGGCAGAAAGTAGTTGGAAGTGTTGCCTCTTCCATTTCAAACCAGGCGGAACCCTCGCCGCTTGTTCCATGAGCCATATGCCACGGGCCAGGGGCCTCTGAAAATTAAACAGTGACACCATCACCAACGTGACATAAGCTGAGTGCATCTTATAGCGACCTTACACAGCTGCAACAGCAAAGAGGTCCCTTTTATAGGCTTCCTCTTTTTTGGGTTGCAAATAATTTGAATTGGCATACTCCACTCATAGATCTACGCAAGAAGTTGTTCATGGACCCTTGCTTTGGGGTTGTGCATTCTTCGCTCAGACGAGAGCCTTTAGACATGTCTTGAAACATGAAACCCCCTCTGTCTCTCTCTTTGTTTAAATGAAACTAGATACAGTACAGTTGAGGGGCCACTTCGAGCATCTGAGTGCAACAGCTCTTGCGGGGGTAGTTGCCTCACCGCAAAGTTTAGCCGGCCTTCTTGGTCCATGACAGCGGGGCTCCTAGCAAGCGCAAACCTGCCAAGTGGTGTGCTCAGGTTTGTTTACTTCGCAATGGCACGCCAACCTAGATTTGTGGCAGGGCGCCCTCGAGCCAATCTCAAGAATGATCCACCAGTTGTCTTGGTGCGGTGAGAGAGGCGATACTTCCCAGAAGGTTCGCTTTGGATGTCAAGCTAAGGCCTTCAAGTGAGCATGCAAGAAAAAGTGCATCACTACAAGAGGTGATTCCATGAATGGGCAAAAACCAAAAGGGACCAGACTAGGCTGGCCGGTTTAAACTTTTGGGGAATCCCAGCGACCCTTTGAATCGTTGATTGTCAGCCCCTCTTCCCCAAACAATTGGTTTGTCTCAAATGAGCGGTCCTAGAATGGTTTGTTTCTGCCGTTGTCCTTTAAAACCAAGACACACCTACACTTGCATCCAGGGCGAAGCACGGCCGGCGCATCCTTGTATTGGTTTCCTTTAAACAAATAAAAAAATATGTTTTTTGTGATTTGGTTTGCAGCTGGTGTGCAAGCTCTAAATTCATATCAATCTGCAGCATTACTACTGCTACTACTACCATTACCATTACCATTACCACTACCACTACCACTACCACTACCACTATCACTACCACTACCACTACCACTACCACTACCACTACCACTACCACTACCACTACCACTACCACTACCACTACTACTACTACTACTACTCTTGCTGCTGCTGTTGCTGCTGCTGCTGCTACTGCTGCTGCTGCTGCTACTGCTACTACTACAACTACAACAACAACAACTACTACTACTACTACTACTACTACTACTACTACTAGTACTACTACTACTACTACTACTACTACTACTACTACTACTACTACTACTACTACTACTACTACTACTACTACTACTACTACGGCAGCATGCCAACAGTGGTCAAAGTCATAATAAACAGATCAAAAGCATCTACGACACTCAAATTCCAACATCGAAACTGATATCTAATCCGAGTGGGAGTTTTTTTTGATCTTTTTGAATTCCGACTCCAACTCGCACCCTCCGCATTAAGACACATCCAAAGACAGGGTGGTTCCCCTTGAAATTGCAGGGTAGAACCTAAAGCCCTCAACAAACACATAGCAAGTGGCCAGTAGCCCTGGCTACGACCCGCCTCCACCTGTTATCTCTTTCCTAAGTGGGTCGTAGCCAGACTCACTACAACCGCTTTCTAAGTACCCTGCTTTCTCAAGTGCCAAACCTGAAACACTGTAAAGATCCCCACCCCCGAGCAATGTATTGAAGGGCGATCGCACCCCCAAACGCACGCCTCCCCTTCCTGCGGAGGTGTGCGTGTGTGTTTCCCAGTTGAGGGTGGGGATTTGCAGAGGCACAGAAGGAGGACGCTGATTGCACTTAGCTCTGCCAGAGTATGGCCGGAGTATGAGCAGCACGCTGGTGGTAAAACAGTAAAACACTGCTGTTCGGAACGTCGGCATTGATACCTCATTCCGTTGCCATAAGCCAGGAAGACGATCGGCTTCCTGTTTTGTGTACAGAGGACCAGTAGTTAAAAATTAAGATATATCATTTTACAACTAAGATAATATATTTAATACTGATTCTACTATATATTTACCATTGCTAGCAGGACATGAGCATTTTTCCGTCGAGGGATAAATAATAGTTGAGGCTGAATTTATTTCTTCCGAGACGCGAGTTTATCTGCTGGTACATTTACCAAGCCCTGCAGTTGTCCAGTGGCATCCGTGGAAGTTTTTTGGAGTTCTTTGAAAAATACATCAGCAACCAGCAGCCCAAATGGTCAAGCAGGTGGCATCCATTGTTCTATTTGGGGGGTCCATTTGTGTGCGTTGGCCCGTTGGCAAGTTCTGTTCCCCCATTGACCACTAAGGGGCCTTCGCCCCCTCGCATTCGGGACAGGTTCAGAGCCAACTGCGGGAGGCAGCCAGCCGTGCGCCGCCGCAAGAGACGATGAAAGAGGCCCGCGAGGACACTGTGTGCTGTCTCTCGCGATAGATTTGTCTTTGCATCGCCGCGTATATTCCCAGTAGCATGGCGTATGTACACAGGCATACGTTTGTGCGTATAAGCTGTGTGTGTGTGTTTTGTTGCATTTGCAATTCGACATCAAGTGTAAAGGCGGAACACTTGAACTTCTTCTCAAAAGTGTCTATCCAATTTCTAGCTCGCGTTTGCCGCACGCTTGTGTTGCATATTTGCGGCATAGCCCTACAATGGTTGCATTGTGTTTTCAGCATGTGCGTACAGCGCAATTCTGAGTGTGTTTGATCGTTCTGGTACACCTTTAGCTTAGTATGGCTGCGAAATGGGTCCCACATGCTAGTATGCGTGAGCCAGAGTCTGTCTTGTGCGCTTATAATAGAATGTGTCCAGCTAGTTGTCAGTCCCAGCTTATTTGCAAGGCTTTTCCAGCGGACTTGAGTGTATTATAACACACACACACACACACATGGGGCAACCTCATGATTCAACGACCTCCAATGCAAAGGTGACTTGAAATGTGCGCTGTAGCGTGAAGCGATGATGAAATGGCCTTGGCCCCATGATCATGAGCTCCGCTTTTGACACATGCAGAGCGGGCCTTTCACCATTTTGAGGGCCCCATCCCTCCGATGTTCAGGTGCGCACGCGCGCACACACCTTCATGTTTATGATATATCCGTGCCCCCAGAGGTGGTAACTTGCACACAACATCGCATTTGTTTTACATGTGGGACCATATCATGGATTGTTGCAACATGAAATTGCTGCTCTCATTCAAGCCAGAGTAGGTGCAATTCTCATAGCATCGTCCTTGTCATTCCTGTTTGAGACTAGAATTTAGATAGATTCCGGTTTGGAAAGAGAAGCTGGTTGTTTTCTCTATGTGTCTGCCCCTTAAAAGGAGTGAAATACAAGTTCGAATAAGATGTTAATTAAAAGTCAATTCAATTAGTGTTTGAATTAGATATTAACTGTGCTTCCTTTCCAAGTAGGATTTTGATTCGAAGTTTACTTGAATTTGAATAGACTCTATCAAAGAACGGCAAGCTGGTTGTTGCTTATGCCTACGAAAATTGTGTTTTCAAGTTTAAGTTGCAAGGCGTTAAAAAGTTTCAATTCAAGTTGTTACGTCAAATATGAGCTCCTTTCCAAGGATGATTTCAACTGGAGCTCAAGTAGGATTGTTATGTTGAATTATATTTAGATATGATTCCCTTGCAATGGTGAATCAAGTTTCTTTTTCACGTATCTAGGATGTTAATTAGACAACAATTAAGTATAATGTCGTAACGAAAGACAGGCCAGCAGTTCCTTCTACTTAATTCAATAAGATTTTAGATATTTGAACGGATTTAAGTTGAATTCTTGGAACCTACATAAATCAAATACGGGAAAACAAGGTGTGTCTTTGTTGTACAATTATGGTGGAGGCACAGGACATGCTGCACACGTGCGAAATCTGTACAGCTAAATGTCGAAGCTGACAGCCTTGTCGTGTCAGAAGGAACTGAAGCACGAGTCTGCAAGCATCTGCGACCTCAAAGCCCCACCCACCCACCCCAAACAACGAGGAAAACTGAAAAGTCAAACACAACTCGAGGAACACAAAAACAAAACAATCAAAACAAAGAGGCAAATGTTTTGGACGGGACATGCCCAATCCTATTTTGTCAGGGGGATTGTTTTTTGTTTCTCCACGAGTTGATTTCCTGAGCGGCAGAAACACAGTTTGAGAAGCGTCCTTGGTTGAAAAATGTCCTCTCAGTCACCCAGTCAAAAGGAGAATACGTTTGGGTTTGGATCCGGAACAATTTTCCCGATGGTTCATGGGGAAATGACCTTTGAATTGCTGGTTTCCTGGGGAATCCCATTGATTTCCAACACCCAGGTTTTTTGAGAACCGGCAAGCACAATGGATGCCCAGAAGCCGCGGCAAAAGCTGCAGCAAGCAGCCCGCCGCGTCAGCCTTGTGATGCTTACACGGCCGACCCTCGTCAGGCGGACAGGGTGAGGGGCGCAGGGTGCGGGGTGGCTGGCCACGTTGAGCCGGACAGTTGTTTCAATACTCAATGTTGCATCGCGAAACAGTTGGCCCCTCGGACATGTCGTTTTTGGTTTTGCAATCTGTCAGACAGGGATTTAACTGATCAGTGTTGGTTTGAAAGCCTGGCTTTTCCTGGGGGGTTTGGCACAAGCTTTTTCGGGCAGGGCGCAGGATGCCTGTTTGCTACGGAGCTTGGTGCCCCTGCACGGGAAGACCTGGAGGCTCAGCTTCTTTTGGCCGTTTGTTTTGCCGTGTAAGGGGCTTGTTCCAAGAGTCGTCGGTAGGTCTATATATTTTTGGCACGTGCCTGCTCCACTATCGAGCCGCGGGGAAAAGACAGACGCCTCGCAAGAGCCTGCTTCCTGTTCAACAAGTTATACTCATCCGAGTCCGCAAAGCTGTGTTCTGCAGGCAAGCTTGGTGCCCCAGCAGTCGACCGCGAACAAAGTAAACCTGCGAAGGCGAGTTCCCAGGATTCCGTGTTAGGCTTTCAAAGGGAAGCGCTGGCAGCCTAGGTTCTGGGACTGTATTCGGAACTGGGACCTCCAAGCCAGAGCGCGACATTGCCAAAGTCCAGCTGGCTATGAGCTTGAATAGATGGAACGCCCTGCAAAAGTTTGGAGTTTGGAGGGCATAAATCTTTCTGTAAGGAATGTGTAAAGTTTCAATTCTGGCGAACGTTTGATTCCCAAGGCACAGCAGCGCCTGAGAGTGGATGGGCTGCGGGGACTTGTAGGCCGAAGTCGCGTTGGCTTGTGTTGGTTTGATGTTTTGTCCCGCTTCGTCACTGTTCGCCCAAACTCAGTTTGATTTGTTTGTTGATGACTCAGATGGGTTCATGGTTTGTCCGGCAAGATACAACCATACATTTGTAGAGTGAGCACTATAACTCACCAGGAGAGCAGAATCCATGTTCTATTTCAGAAACGGGATCAACAAGGCAATCAAGATGCGGATGATCATGACCACTAGTATTGGAAGAACATCCCAGGTGGTCAATTGTGCCAGCTTGAGATGCGCAGGAAAAGCATGGTGTTTTATGTGGAAGGTTCCGGCAGGGAGTGTTCACCCTTTGCCATGGCAGATGCACTCGTAGGGACCTCGCATGTGTCCCAACCTTCCAAGTGTCTGTCTAAATGAAGGAGCTTCATGGATAACACTCGCTTGGGCTCATGAATCGGAATCGGCCAAGGAATCCCAGAAGTGCTATCTCGCCGCTTCCGAAGGCCGCTTGGACAAAGGAATGAATGAAATCCCTCCTGCGCACTGTAGGGGTACCCCCACAGCTGCAACTTTCTCGCACGCGGCTTTGTGAGCAGAAGGATCACTCGGCATTCTGTAAATGGAATGGGTGCTGCTGCTTCTTTTTTGGCCACATTTGTGGAAAAGCCGAGCGAACCTGGCAGATGCATCAGCAGCTCTGCCCAGAGCTGGTAACGGACGCAGTTTCAACAGAAAGGTCTTCTGGCACTGACAAAGCGGGGTGAGCATGTTCAGCTTCACAAACATGGGTGAGCGCAAGCAAGCAACGATTTCCAGGGCAGCTGTTCTCAAACGGAGGGCATAGTGGCTTCAAGTGTTCTTCACCAATGGAATTAGCAGGCTGTGTCTAAAAGCCAAGAATCACAGAGCAATGAACTTTGTAATGAGCGACACCATGAGGTGCCGGATACAGGAAACCACAAGGGGGATGATGTTTGTCGCATTTTTCTCCAGGCCCAAAAATATCGCGCGTGTTTATTCTTGTGGTAAAAGCTCCAGTCCCACCTTGTTGCTCAGCTTAGGAACCTTCCGCGCCTGAGAGGCAGACATCGCAGGTGCGCACCTGGCAGGTGGTTCAGGATGTTGAGGTTTCCTTGAAGGCCTAGTGGTTGGGTCGCATTGTTTGATTTGTCATTTTGCGTGACTTGTGCTTCACCCAGGTCGAAAGTGAATTGGTCAAACGGTTTCCATGCGGTTCGGGTTATTGGCGCTCACTTGGTCGGCCTTTGTTGGATCAGGCTTGAGCTGAGAAGGGGACGGTTCTTTCGCACACTTCTATTGCCCGTCCACCCAAACGGGGGCCAGGAACAACCTTACTGAAAAGCGGCACCTATGGTAATATTCGGTGTCACTACACTTTCGGTAGCCCTCCATCAACACCTTTGGTGTGGCTGAGATGCTTGGGCGTCCAGTGCTCCATCTGCTCTACAACACGCCAGCACTTCCAGCTCTCGAAAAAACAAGAGAGCTGCAGCTTGGGTGGTGCGCTAGATGAAGCCCCGCCGTTCAAGAATGGCTCTCGAGCGGGAGGGCTATGTATAAATACATGTGTATATGTATATATATATAATACATGTATGTATGTTCCAGGCCGTGAACCTCCCCTCCCCCCGTGTGGGGGTGGATTGGGGTGTGGTTTGGTGTTGGTTTAAGGTTGGCCGGGGTTGGTGCAGGGTTGGTTCAGGGGCTGGGTTTGGGGTTTGCTTGGGATGGTTCAGGGGAGATTTAGGAAAGGGGGGGGTCAGGCGGCCTGGGGACTGGAACGTATGGATGGAAATTCTTATAGAATATATTATTGTAAACGCTTCGCGTTGCCCGCCTCGGCCAGAGCCACAGAGAGCTACAGAATAGCGGGCCAAGCTCTAGGGAATTGACTGGTTTCTGGGGTGAATTTTGCCGGTTTTCTTGGGGATTTTGAACGGAGTCGGACATGTTTTTACAGGGGATTTGACAGGCTTCGAGAGGGGAGATTGATGTTTTAGGGGGAAATTGATTGGTTTCTGAAGGAGATTTTGACCGGTTTTAAGGGGAACGGGATTTGACCGGAGTTGGATCGGTCTTTACAGGGATTCAACTGGTTAACAAAGTTGACAGGGATTCGACTGGATAGTGAAGTTGACAGGTTTCTATTTGTTTCTAGGAGATTTGAGCACTTTCCAGAGGGAGCAAATTGGTTTGGAAGATCCCGAAGAGGTTCTGAAGGGGTCTGACGGCTTCCCGGCCCTGAAACCGAGGCGAATAACATGGATATCTGGCAAAGTTTTTTCGGCAACACAAGCAGAGGCGGACTCAAACATGTTCTTTTTGCGTGCTCCGGCGGAAATCGGGATTTGCAAGAAAAGCTGCGGCGTTCCTTTTCTGACGGCGTTTCCCCTAATTAAGTGCATTGCTGCTACAATCTTGCGCAAGCTGCCCCTTGACGTTTTGCACCCTGCGCACTCAACAGGACAGCAGGCGGCAACCGGCAAACGCCACATGACCTGCTTGTGCCACTGCATGGCAGAATCAGAGTATAATACCAGTCTGGGGGGATGAGTTTTGTGGGTGTGGCAATTCCGGCGCTCTTCTTGTCTTAAGAAATGCTGGCTTCAGAAGAGTGCGCTGCCCAACTGCTCCACGGCCGCAAAGCAATTGGTTTTGGACCGTGGCTTGATGGACAGTTTGGCACTTTGCGGCGTTTCGAAACCAAGAGCGGAAACACACGGAATCATGGCTGACACACGCGAAATTACGGCGGAAACACGTGTCCACCCGGTACTGCCCGCCAAGGCAGGCTTTCACTTCAGGGACTCAACTCAAATGTGCCTTTGCCGATTGTAGTTGTGTGGGTAGGTGCAGTCGTTGCTGACCGTCCATGCTCATGATATCCGGCATTTGGCAGAAAATCATAGAAACTCCCAGGCGCACGTGGCGTGGGAGCAAGGGCCAGTTCGAGTTTATGACGTTTGCCAGTCTCCAGGGTTGTTTTTTGAATTCCTGGCGTTCTTTCAACCTGCCGCCAGTTTTTCTTTCTAATGGGGCAAACTCCTGCCTCATCATCGAACGGCTAGAAATTTGGCCGGACAGAGTTTCCAATATGGAATATGATTCCACCTTGGCAGTCCAAAAGCACGGCAAAGCAAGGGAAAGCAAAGGAAAGCAAACAACAGCAAGGGGAAGCAAGGCAATGCAACGGAAAGCGAAGCAAAGCAGAGGACAGCATGGGGCAAAAGGAGGGTTCCCATTACAGGGGCCCCTTTGGATTGTCTGATTGGCAGTGCTTTTCCCGGAGACCCCTTGCTTCCCGTTGGCGAGCCATAGTTTGTGTTCTAAATCAGGGCGGTTTAGATGCGTATTTTATATATACATATATGTTAAATTAGGCTATGTCAAAAGACAGAAACCAGACCCCATCCCCCGCTGGCCAGAAAGGTTGTCAGTTTTTTTGTTTGAGAACCATTCTGAACGCATTCTAGACGCACCCTGCCAGGCGAGCGCGAGTGGCGCCAGCGGCGCCAGCGGCGCCAGCGGCGCCAGCGGCGCCAGCGGCGCCAGCGGCGCCAGCGGCGCCAGCTCCAGATCGAGCTCCAGATCGAGCAGCTCGAGCAGCTTGGCGCACTGGACTCAATGTGGACCCGGATCGACAGTTGGCCGAAAATTGACACTGCAACTCCCACAACTGCTCCCAGTTTGGATTTAGTCATGCCCTTTACTTACCCGCCTAGTCGGACTCGTGCCGCCTACTTTCACCTTGATCCAAGTAGAGCCTGGTGGATGAATGGGAGCCGCAACTCCCCACAAGTGAATCGGATTCACATCAAGATGGGACGCCACCCACCCTCTGGAAGCCGTGGTTTCGCATTGCAGTCCCAGTTCCTGAACTTCATACTTGATGGGAATAGTGCTTCAGCGGATCAGCAGTTTGCCCACTTTGAGAGGAAACGAGTAAGCAAGCTTTGCGCGAATACCCAGGCGGCAGGAAACAACAACTGTCTTCTGATGTTGACCCTCGACTTGAAGAGTTTGGATGTTGAATTGCGCTGCCCCAAGACCGAAGACCGTTTTCAGGGTCTCAGCCCTGGGTGCCTGTGTTTGACCCATTGTCAAATCTTCAAACATGCCAAACTTTTAACCTCCCTACATGATTGGATTATGTTGGATTGTCCGCCTCCTCTTGAAGGTAGCCCCCACGCAGTTGCCATAGTTCGAGCCAAGTCCCAGAAACGGGGCCAGAGGACCCTGTTCTCCTGCCCGCAGGCAGTTCCTCGAGCGGAACTGAGGCGACAGGCCGTGCCGCCTTTTTGACTGGGACTTTAGGTCAGATTGGGATGAGACTTTGGGTGTAACTAAAGTGGTGTGAATCAAAGGCTGATTGTTTTTTTTCTTCTTTTTTTCTGTTTTGTTATGAACCTTAAATGGATATTGCTTGTTTGGTTTATTGGCTGTGTTTGGTTGATGTTACTTATATTACGACATATCTGGCTTAATTATGGGCAAATGGATAAGAGGTCTGGACGAACAAGAAATCAGCTGTTGGGGGAGTATGCCCCGTGCTTCGGACCTTCGGATCTGATTTTACGGTAGCCTACAGGGGGTTGGATCCAACGTAATCTTTCACCCACGAAAATGGACCCTCTTCCATGTGGCAAAGTATGGCGGCCTTACAGGGGAGGTGCCAATTTACTCATCAATTGTGCTTCTTTGGGATCCCTGAATTTTGGTTCGAGTTAATTCAGACGTTCCCTACGATGCGGCTAGAAAGCATACTATCATTTGGGCGCTCAGGAGTGCTCCGAGTCTTAGGATCAAAGCCCAAAGCGGAGAAAAGCGGTTTCCTTACCCTCCCACAAATCGACATGGAACCCTCAGAGGGGGGTCCTGGAACACCATTATATATCCTTTTAAAGGGACCCCCTGTCAGCTGCCAATGTTACTTGGAAGGTACTTTAGGGTTACAGAAATCCATCGAGGGACTGCGGTTTCTCCGATCGCCAGGCAGCGAGGCCGAGCCCAACCGGGCCTGAGGCGTCCAAAATCTCTTTAGTCCGGGTCTGGGCGGAGCGCGCCTCTTGGTTGATGAATATGTTTGGCCCCCAAATGAACATGGGGAACTTTGCCCATGCGGGACATATCATCTTTTTAGTGGGGTTTCTCCAAAGGTCATCCCATGTATATAAAGGACTTTTTGATCAACCCCTGATAAGTGTGCATTCTAAGTTCTAAAATGCGGAACACGGTTTCCATCTGGTTTCCCTTACCAACAAAGGGGCACACACAGCTATAATCAACTATATGACGTAGCAGGCGTGAAACGAGCTCGGGTCACTGTTTCAATGGTTGGCGTCATACAGGTTTCCTCTCAAAATGGACCCCAAAGGTATCACCAAGCTCCCAGTTGCCGTATCTGGACACACTTGCTGTTTTCCGGCAGACCTCATAGTTGTATCAGAGAATTCTCGTGGACCTTTGGCCTGACTTATCGTTCGACTACTTTGCATGGTTGCTTTGATTGCCAGGCGCATGGTAGATAGACTGCACAAGCTTGGCACCGTATTGCATTTCCCTATGCAAATCTCCTCATGACAACAGTTCGAGGATTACCTCGCGGAGTGCTCGCCAGTCCATCTGGCTTATCGCATCTCAGATTTCTTGAGCGACCAGTTGCCGCTGAGCTGTGAAGCATCAGCTCGGCCGGTGCTCAAGGATCACTTCACTGTACATAGGCTGCAGACGGGGAGGTTGGGTAAATCAAAGCGAGCTTGACCATGCCAGCCACATGTTGACGATGCCTTTTGTAGACCCAGTGCTTTGCCCAGTGATCATGCTTTGGCCGTTGGCTGGGGTTTTATTTCTTCTATATGCATATACTTGCTGCTAGACACTTCGTGGCATTCGCTATAAGGCTGGACCCTCAAAATGTTCTTTTCCTCTTCCTTTCGGTTTGGTTTCCTTTGGCGTTCGTTCTTTTTCCCTTCAAACACCAATCTAAGCTCCCAGCTTCAGCACGAGGCACGAGGTCCGCGCGAAGTGGAGCGTGCACCCCGGTCAAAAGGCGAGCGATTTGGACAAGCTTCCTCCCCAGATCTAAAGGAGCTTCCTGTCAAAATTATGCTGTTCGGGGTCCATGTTAGGTAGAAGGGGAGTACTCTTGGGGTAAACAAGCTCGCCCCGAGCTCGCCCATGACCAAGGTCCTGTAGTAAAAGGTTTCTTGTAAGATCGGTTTGGGATGCATGATAATTGGCGACACATTGGCGATAAAACGGACCTTGTTTGCGGCCAAACAAAGTAGTCATGCGCCGCCCTTAATGGGTTGGTCACAAGTTGTATGAGGCACCCTTTGTCAATTGCTACGCTTTGAAGAGCAGCAATGTCGGCAGGCAAATCAAAGGAGGTTGGAACCCCAAATGGGTCATTATCTTGCTCGGCTATATGAAACACAACAGCAACGCAAGCTGTTTGGCCGTGAGGTTCCGAAGGCTGAAGATTCTCTAGGGAGGCATATTTGTTGGTTGGCTAGGTCCGGTGCCACCCAACCACATCCAGAGTCCATGCCCTTGTATTATCTTACCAGCATCAACGGTCGTTTGTTGGGCAGAGCGCTACCGAGCTTGAGATTTGTTGGCCTGGGGCGTGATTCGCGCGCACGCAAGCCGTGGACCCCGATAACGCCTGTCAAATGGTTTGTTGAGTGACCTTTGGCAAGGGCAGGGCGAATTGACAAATCTGACAAGCATTGGGCCTAGACAAAGGGTGTTGATTTGCCACCTTGGCCGTCATGGATTCCTTGTGCAGGCTGTCTTGTTTCAAATGGGTGAATTGCCGAACTTTACCGTGCCAAGCATACCCATGCTAGTCATGAACCAGGGGTCATAGATCCAGATGCAGTCCAATTTGTCCTAAGCACTTAGCGCGGTTGTTGCTACAAGTTATTTTTGTTACAAAGAAAGAGCTCGCTGTCTTTTGCAAGGGCCTGTTACGACCTGCCAATCGCAACAGTCAACCTGAAACCTCAAGAGGACGACGCTTTTTTGCGGACCTCATTCCTTACATGTTGAGTCTTGCGTGAGCTTTCTAGAAACTTTGAAAGGTGTTTTGGAGCCATTGAGGTTTCTGCGGTCAAATGCTGCGATTAGAAAGCTGAGCTTTCTGTGTGTTGTGGCAGCACAGAATGCCGCTTGGGCACGACTCAGTTCTTCCTGCCGGTGTTACTTACTGTTATTGTGTGCCTTGTTGCAAAGCATAGAAGATCTTTGTCCATGGGGCGTTGCAACGCAAAGATGTACATGACACAAAGCGTCCTTCAGTTTCTGCGGTCCACCTTGCCGTGTTGCCGTGTGGTTTTTTCAATTTCGCGCGTCAAAGGCGTGCTAAAAGGGTCACTTCTGAACCTCTGAAAGGTAGAGTCTTGAAGTTTAAGGGTCAATTTCAGTTTTAGATATGGGCCAGAATCAATCAGTCAATGGTTTGGCAAGTCTCCAGGGAGGTTGCTTGAGGGCTGAACGTACTTTTCAGAACCCCGACAGTGGGATCAACATGAGGGTAGTTTGAGGGTCTCGGCCGGTGCGGGCGACTGGCTTAAGCCAAAAGCCTTGGGTCGCACAAGAAGTGCGCTTTCTACATGCTGCAGAAAAGAAGCAGCCATTGTGGTCACGTTACAGCAATAGCGAGCTTGCTATGCAGACACAAGCACAGATTCTTAAACAGGTCCAGCTGCGATGTCTACTTTCTGCCAGAACAATGCCATGAATGAAAAGAGTGGCAGACGAAAAATATCCAATGCAAGCGCGGGCCAGCGATGTGCGCATGCGATTGCCAAGATCGTCGGCCAGGCAGCGAACCTCTTGTGAAAAGCCAGTTGTATTGTTGCCTTGGTGTGCTGAAGTAGTGCGGCGACAGAGGTTTACCAAGATTGCTCGAGGGCTCAGATCTGTTATGTGTTTGTGTGTGTGTGCGGCCTAATTCGCGTTTGCTTTGGTTGCAGTGGCTTTCCGGTATACATTCCACTTGATCTATATTCGCTCGGTGTTGGAATCGGACACCCAACCTGCCCTGGCTTCAAGCAGAACGCCTGCCCCAAATGCTTGTTGACTTAGGTTATTCGAGCATGGGACAAATAAATTGACATTCGCACACATTATGCAGTTGTTTGCTATGTTCGCGTGGCATTTTCCTTGTTTACTTGTGTGTGTGTGTTGGTAATTTATTCACAGGATCCAGCGTTATTGAAGCAGCTGGTATGTTTTCTGTCGCGCCCGCAGAGCTTTTTGGTTTTCGCGACTCGCCACTTCATTCATGGTACCGGGATCTCGGCGAAAGGCACGATCTGCCAGAAGTGGTGAAAGAGTGCAAAAGTTGTCGTCAGGGTTGCCAATTCTGTGTTAGCAAGGGAATCACCTATGCGGCAAGACTTGCTATGGGAATTGCTCATGCTTTTTTGACAAGGGTTTCCCACACTTATGTCAAGAGTGGGATGGACTTGTTTCATTTCATCGAGTTTACCTTTTTGCCGGCTTTGGCAATCTAAAGGGCCCCTTCTGTACAACATCTACAGAGGCGCCTTTCAATTTTCCCATACAGGGTAGCTGCGCGGCTACCTCTGCACTGCCGAAGTAGCGATGAAGGTGCTCAATTATGAGGACCTCGCCGGCTCATGGCGCAGGTGGTGGTGGCTTCATCGTTTCAGTCTTGGGTGAACTTCTCGAAGAATACTCCGACCGTTGCCCCCGTTTTCGGGACCTCAGCTGCGTTTGAATATGTGCTGGCAGATGGCATCTATGCTCTTGCCCCTTGCACGTTGTGAGAGTGGACTGGAACAACGTCAGCAGTTTACATTCAAACAGCTGAAGAGCGTCCTTGATGAGCGGGCTTCGCGATTAAAGATGGCAACAAGAAGATGCGCAAGCACTTCTCCGCTGTGGTGTTCGAAGCACCGTTGTCTTTTTCGGGTGCTTGGGTTTGCCTTTGAAACCACCGAAAGACGTGCCCTTTGCATGGCCTGGCAAGCAAACTGCAGGTCTTCAAGCACCTGGCTATGGGATGGGGCGCACACACACACACACCAAATGACGGCTTTCCCAATTACTGTAAGCAGTACTCATGGCAGTCCGGGGCGCAAGTATAGACCATGACAAATTAAAGCTTTTCCAGATGCTGGCTGTAGCTTGTAGTTGCTCCTTTTGAGCCTGTCAAGCAAGCCAGAGGGATGTGTTTGCACGAGACGTCGAGACATGGCGAGCTCGGGGAAGATCGAACTCACCCTTAAAGGTCCCTTAGTCGAAAAAAAAAAAAAAGGAAAAAAAAAGAACAAAAAACGTTGTATGTGTCAATGTAAGGCATTCCCAGGTCTTTTGGACCTATCAAATTAGCTGCACCGCCGCTTGTAATTTGAATGGCAGGAGTGTGTTGCAGGAGCGGCCGCGCAAGTCAAACATGGGGCCGCGCAAGTAAAGCGCAAGTGAAGCGCAAGTGACGCAGTGATGATTCATCATCATCATCATCATCATCATCATCATCATCATCATCATCATCATCATCATCATCATCATCATCATCATGGTCGAAAGAATCCGGAAGATTGCTAAATTTTCGCGCAAGTCGCGCGCAAGTCGCGCGCAAGTCGCGCGCAAGTCGTAGATGCCTTGGATCAGGAGTGGCCCATTTCTGTAGTTTGCATTTTCTTTGTTTCTGCAGATCCCAGCAATGAGTTGCAGCAGCCAGCAGCAGCAGCAGCAGCAGCAGCAGCAGCAGCCGCAGCAGCAGCAGCCAGCAGCAGCCGCAGCAGCCAGCAGCAGCCAGCAGCAGCCAGCAGCCAGCAGCAGCAGCAGCAGCCAGCAGCAGCAGCAGCAGCAGCAGCCAGCAGCAGCAGCCGCAGCAGCAGCAGCCGCAGCAGCAGCCAGCAGCAGCAGCAGCAGCCAGCAGCAGCAGCCAGCAGCAGCAGCCAGCAGCAGCAGCCAGCAACAATTTGCAGCGGTGTACACACCTGAGACCTCATACACTTAAGGGGCATGTCTTTGGGGGACCTCACTCTTATGAAGACCGCCGCTTGGATTTGCAATGAAAACATCCTGGGATAAGAGTTTTAATACGTTTTTTTTTCCAGCTCCCTTGGATCTCTGAACTGCAGGTTGACTTGCAGCCAGAGGTGTGGAGGTTGTCAAACATACCTCGCCCTTTTCGGACCTGTTCCGCTTTCCGGCTTGCGTGGCGTCTTGAGAAGGAATTCCTTCGAAGGAAACATGTTTGAGACCACTCCTTCGCCCTGTTGTGAGGACGACACCTCACTTGTGCTCCCCTTGGCTTTTGTGCTTTATGTCTTCCCGTTAAAAGAGACCAACCAATGAGGTGTGTGTTTGTTCCATTGCGCAAGTAGGGCCACATGTGTTAGCTCCAGGTTAATTGGCAGGTTGGTGTCCATTGCGAGACCTGTCAGCTTCGTCTGACAAAGAAAAGACTGTTACTGGATGTTGCTTTGCTCAATCTGATATAGCTTCAAAACGAATACCTTCTGAGGGGACCCCACACAATTCTGAATGATGCTGAATGTTTCCAGTTGGCTTTCTTTCAAGCCCACGCAAACAGGAAATGAGGAAATCAGCAAGCAAGAAATGGTGTCCTTTTCTCCTTTGTTCCTTGACTCAATTTCGATTCAGAATCAACTATCAATCAAGATTGAGTTCGCGCTTATTTGGCCATGGGTCAAAACCTATGCCTCCATTTTGGGGCAGATGAACACCCATGCACCACCTATTTTGATGTTCACCAGGGGTTTCCTGGGTTTGACAACAGCCATTTGCGTGATTTCGGTTTGAAGTCAGTTTCCCTGCCACCACTGTTCCAGTGAACTCGGTGTCGCGCAGCAAGCTGCAGGGATTCCAGGGCTTCCAGAAGCCCTTCGTCCTCCGTGAGGGCCTTCCATCACAGGCGGCACAACGTCCGGCATGATGTTAGCCCTCTTTTTGTTAAGGTTGATTAATAGGGGGGTATCCCCTTTTAGTGGGGAGTCATCACTTTTGGAAAGAACACTACCTCCAAGAATGGGACGGGTTTATTAATCCTGGGTCAACATTAAGGGGACCTGAGCCATTCATAGCTCAGCACGAGCCTAGTAAAACCATGCCAAGCGTAGGACCAGATGTTTTTTTGAGGCAGCTCCCTGTGCAGTGGCTGTTTTCCGTACTTGGGGCTGGGCTTGCACTCCCGCATCGATTACCCGAACATCGGATGAAGTGGCAGGTGCATCGGTGTAAGTATTGCTCCATAGTTGCTGGCACGGTACCGTAGGTATGTTGCTGCTTCTAGCCAGGACATATATGCATATTATATATATGACACCAGCAAAACGAGGAGCCACCTGTCAGCCTGAAAACCAAGTCCAGGAAGTGGAGGTCAAGCAATGCCATAATGGGAATTGTGGCATTCAGGTTGTTTGCGGCACAGACTCGCTTTGAAAGCTTTTACATGCAGCAAGAACTGAGCAGTCTTCCTGAAACATTGCGGGGTTGAGCTTATTTGGACGATGAACACTTGAGTCCTCAAAGGCCATGTGTGGCTTGCCGAGTTACATTTGTGACCCGTAGCAACAGGCAAAGAGCACCACGTCTTGAAAGGCAAGCTCCAGGAATCTCAATCAAGTTGCCCAAGCCAAAAAGGAAGGGCCAGAGTCTGCAGAAGAAGCATTCAATACGTTGCTTTATGACACCTGCTCCATGCCGACGGTGAAGTTCTAGTTGACGGTTGTCGCCACGCGTTTCGCGTTTTGACCACTCGTGGCAAGAGGAAATCATGGGACCCGCAAGGACTCCGCAGCTGTTACTTGGTACCCACTTCGCCACCGAAGGTCACGTAGCCAGTAGCATGAGCCGCTCCTGGAGGATGGCTGTGGTAGTGGATTCCTTGTAAACAAACCTCCGGAAGCAATCTTCGTCCATCTTTCGCGCCTTGCGCGTCCGGGTTCTTGCCACTACCCAATGGAAAAATAAGTTTTTATACCACCCTTTACATAGCAGTGTCTATATAGTGGTATTGGTTGTATATATATATATATGTATATATATATACATATGTGTATATGTACATATATAGCGGTATACCATCGTTAAGAGTTGAACGCAAGTCAAACCACGCTTCGCTGTCACAAAAACTTACTTTGTTGACTTGCCTAGAGTTTCATCACTGGAAACTTGGGCAGATTATTCTGCTTGTTCCATCGTCAGCCGACCGGCGGAGGGAGCCTGTTGTGTGCCTTCGGGAAATACGGAAACATGACCCCCCACCCCCACCCCACCCCGCCTCCCCCCCCCCCCCCGACCCCCGGAAATCAAGTAGTGCACAACGAAGCAACCCTGAACAAGAGGTATACCCATATATATATATATATATTGATATTTACACTACCGTTTTCCATTCGGCGTGGTACATGAGCCCTCTAACATACATCCGCTTTGTGCGGTTGAAGCAAGGGGAAATCGGGTCACCCCTCTCCCCACCCGGTCGACATGGGTCGCTTTGGTGTAGGTAAAAGTTTGTAGGGAACAGTCCCAGCCATAGACAGGTCCGACAAGAAGCCATGTTGCTTTCGACTACCAGTATGTAGTTGCTCTATGCGTCTCGTCCTATTCTGCACGCTTACTTCGTCGACAGGGGCGAGCTGCCGACCAAAGATGTTCCGGAGATCGCTGGGCACTCAGAATGAACATGGAGTAAGGCAACTCCAACACATGTAGAGTGATCTCCCATCAGGTTCCCACACGAGTTTCGGTTGCGCAACATTTCGAGTAGTTAATTGTCAAACTTGGCGAGTCAATGGGGGACTCGCTCTCTCTCTCTCTCTCTACAGAAACACATGGGACGCTCTAACTGTGGCGCACATGGTTGGGTTTGTGTGCAGTAACGTCGTGCATAATTGAATGGTGGTGCTGGTAGAAAAAACGCTCCCACCAACATGACCCGGCTCAGGCCAAACCGAGATGAACGGCCAAGACAAAGGAAATAGGAGCGCCAAGGGGCCGACACCAGTGTTTATCTCCACATGTTGTATGGCCTGCTTTCGGAGCCACATAATCATAAAGTCACCTTGGATGGATGTTGCAGGCGACAATGCTGTGAAAGCAATCCAAAACACCTGGAACTGTAGAGTTCACCATTTGGGCGAGTCAAGGTGCGCTTCGGAGACCCGAAGACATTTATTTGTCTCAAGCTGAGCGAGCCCCAAAAAACGGGAGGCTGTTGCTTTGGTTTGCCGACCAAGAGAACGTCACCAAAGCATCTTGAGCAGTGCCTTTCGAGAGCATGGCCTTCCCGGACACAGCAACAAATCTATCCACACGCAATGAGACTGGGACCCTTTTTTGACATGGCGTTCAAGGTTCACGAACGAACGATGAACCAGAATCTTGAATAAAAGGTACTGTATCCCAACGCCGCCCGGGAGAAGTGGGGCTCCGTTTGATGGTGTTGAAAGTTCAAGGAGAAACCTCCAAGGAAACCAAACAGCAGTTGATGTTTTTCAGTTTCATTGTTTGGTGTTTGTGTTGTTTTTTTGCGGTGTTTTGGGTTTTCTTTGGGGAGAGGGGGTGTCTTTTTAGGAGTGTCGGTTCCGGAAAAGAAGGCCAGAGACCAGGTGACGGACCTCCTAGATGGCGACTCCCAGAGGTGTGCGGGGCTACTCCCACATGGCCAGTGTGGCTCGCTTCGCTCGGCCGAAACCAAGGGGCCCAAGAGTTGGTACCACTTTTTGGAGCAGCCAGTTTCCCTTTGGTCTCTGAGTACTCCAAACCCGGGTAAGCGAAGGGACAGTCCCAGCCACTAGTTGTGGCCGCCTTTGTATATATTTACATTGGTTTGGGAATACCGGGTTTTGATTGTGACTCAGTTGCGCATAAAATTATCAAAGACAACCCCAAATAAGGTACTCCAACGACATCTGGATGGACCTACCCTTTGTCCACTCAAATCTAGTTGTTGGAGGAGGGAAGACCTCTTGAGCTGTTCTACAACATACAAGCGATGCAATACGTTAGTTTGTTTGAATGTGGTCAACGGCAACCAAGAGGATAGTCCCAAGGTCCGTTAGCAAACAAGATGGCCCTTCGGCGTCAAATAGCCCAGATTGCATTGGCAGCTTTTGCAAATGTACTATGTTGGCAAGCAGCTCGGTTCAATGGCACGTGTATTCTTATCGCATGCCAACATAAGTTCCACCACAAGTTCTGCTTGGCCTGAAGCAGCGGCGTGGAGTTATTGTGTGCCGGTATTTGCACGTCTGTGCCTCGCGCTTTACACATACATGCTGAATGGGCTGTTAGTTGTTGGTTGGCACGGCGTGTGAGCAGTTGGCGGATTCCGGACTACTGTCCAAGTGCTTGTCTCCCAATGGGGGTCGCTGCGATTGAGGGGGGATGCCAATCCCGAACACTTTTGCTAAGTCCGTGACCTTCATGTTTGATTAAGACGCACCGGTTCAAGTGTTAGCCGTTAGCCTTTATGCACAAATGTAGATTTCCTGAGTTTGGATTAGGGAGGGTGTTACAATGGCACCCTCCCAAGCTAGTGCACAGCCTGGGTTTCCATCATCCAGTTAAACAGGTAGCACGCGATCGCAAGCAGTGGTTCGGGGCTGGCAATGCTTGGAAAGACAATAAGAGTTTGTTTGTCTCAAATGGTGGCCCCTCCAAAATTTGCAGCTTCTTTGCGCTTTCGCTTTAGCATAGCCCCAAATGGCTACCCAACAATCACATACAAGTATTGCAAATCAACCAACGACTCCAAGCCTTTCCAATTTCTGTTTTATCTTGATGGAATGAACTACCCGTCACCCTCTACTTCTTGCTGGCCCAAGACCATTGGTCAGTACCTCTAAAGGTAGAGAAACACTATCAAGATAACTACCACTAAAGATGGACAACAAATAGTTGAACTTCAAGTTCCCAGTGTTTGGCCTTGGTCCGCATGTGCCCTGCTCACGACGTTTAAACTGCGTGACGTGAGCCAGTTCTTTGATTGGTTTCAACTTGGGTTGGTCTACAGGGAAGCCAAAGTGATTCCAACCCTTTAGTTTGCACCGTGCACATACGTCACCGAGTGTGTTTTGGGGAACGCCTGAAAGAAACAGCGGTATTGGCGGAAAGACCTATCGACATGCCCGCGGTCGCCTATGCGCACGGAGCCTTTTCGTTGGGGCCATTGGTTGCTCAAAATGTGATTCGGACCCAACAAGGAAGCCCGTTTTGGGGTTCCCCGGTTCTTCCATATTCAGAAACACCCATTTGACCGAAATCCATCGGATGCAGGGATGATGCCATGAGCGCGGCCATGGTGCTGCAATGCATCGAGGCAATGCGATGGGTCAAAATCGGGGAACCATTTTGCTTAGAGGAGGGTATTGGCGGGGATGTGTTCTGTGCTAGAACAGTTGTCAAAAAACACTGTAAAACCTTCTGGTGGTTGCTTATGGGCATTTTCCCTTGAGCCCATGGGGTTCCCTTTTGGACATACATCCCTGGGTTTGAGTCTACCTTTGGCAACCTGGGGTAAGGCAAGAATGGAACCCTGCTTGTAGGTGGCGATTTCAAGGAGAAGCTCCCAGGAAACATTCGATTTCGAAGATATTTGGAGACAAGCCATTTCTCCTTTGTGGGTGGTTTGGGCCTCAGCCGTTTGCGGAGTTGAGTGCCTCATTGGGTTTGCTTTTAGGTTAGGGATACAGTAGTAGGACCCCTGCTGAAAGGCAATGCACAGATCCTTCCTTTGCGGATACGGGAAGTAAAGGTCCGCGGGGGAGCGGACATTTTCAGTTTTGAGACGGGCGGACTCCGCTTGGCGGACTTGAGATTCATTTGTTCGGCGCCAAGATTTCGCCGATTGAGCTTTTTTGGCCCGTGGCAAAGGGTTCCCTGAGGGTGTCTACGTGGAATAGAATGCCTCATCCTTGCCCTGCCTCAAGCGAAGCTTGCTGTGGCGAGGGTTTGCACAGAGGCTGTGGCCGTGAAAGGTCGCCCAAGGGCCTCTAGCCAGGTTTTTTGCAGCCGTGGGGAAATTCCGGATATTTTTTGCCCTACCCCTGCCCTCCCGCACCTAACTCCCCCAAAGCCATACGATGTGTGTGTGTGTGTGGGTTTTCGAGGGTACCCTTTTTGGTTTTTTGGGATGGTTTTAAAGGGATTCAGAAAACCACCAATTTTGCGGGTCCCCTGTTTTGAGACACCCAAATCCCTTTGCTCCCCCATAGCTCCCCTCTTCCGCGACTCTTTGCTTCTCCCTTGCTTGCTTGCCTGGCTCTCTGACTTTCCTCAATCAATGCATCAGAACCCATCCCCACCCATGCTAGGTGGTTCTCACGAAGATCCAGCGGACGCCTGGCAGGCCATCGATTCCCGAAGTCTGGGAGTATGACATGTGTCTTCTTGCCTCTGGTTCCCGAAACCTGGTATTCTCACGCGCTCCAATCGGCCCCAGTTCGGTTTTGATGGAAACCGGCTCCAGCGAACCGGTGGAAAACCCATAGGAATATCGAAGCAGCCCGCTTTTTAGCCATACTTCCTGACAGAAACCAGTGTTTTAAGGAAACACCGTGCTTTCCACCCGTCAAAAACCCCACATACCCTTGGAAACCCGCGGAAGTTCTGCGTTTGTCTTTAGGGTGGGCCGGCCCACATAGCCCGCGACGTTCTGGTTGCCCTTCCGGGCGCCGAAGCTCGTGCTGCCAAGAAGAAACCAGCGGCTGGTCAGACTCAATGAGCCACAAAAACCATGGTGGTCGATGTCATACTCAATGAGATCGTGTGTTTGTTGAGCATGACATCGGCTGTCATGGCATTCATCGGCTGTTGAAGCTCCTGGTACGAATGTCAGTTGGGGGAGGACATGGGCACAAAAACCGGAGGGGCAACCCGGTTTTCCAATGCTCGCTTGGGAAACAGTGGATTTGTCCTGTGGGTCACGACGGTTCGGCAGACGGGGAGTTGCATAGTCTGAGACTGCCAACTATTTGTCGTCGTTTGTGTCGTTGCTGTACTGTGTCGTGTGCTGATTGGGCGTTGCCTTGGCTTGATTTGGTTTGTTTCGGCTCAGCGCAACCCTGGTCAAGATGTGACTTATAGACTTGGCTTTTGCTGGAGTACCTGGCTCTTACTCTTGAGTTTTCTTTCGGGAAGTGTATGGCAGCAACAGAAAAGTAAAAGGCGTTTCGTTTGGGCAGTGCTGGCAACAGGGTGACAGGGATCTTCAGGGATCGTTGTGTGATCTGCCAAGGGCTTCCTCGGGATCGCCGTGAGAACTACTGCCAACACTGCTTTTGAGAAAGGGGTGGCTGCCAAAGCTTGCTAGCACCGTGGTCCGCTTCAAACAGTCACTGCTAGTGAGATACGTGGATAAGTACCTGATTTGTTGACCTTCAGGACAGGCCTGGTTTTGAGCAACCTCGCGCCTTCAGCATTCGAAATCCATGCAGGCCCTCCAGTTTTGCGGTATGATATGTTGAGGGCGGGTGCCGTTGGCAAGGCGTCACTTAAAAGAAGGCACGCCTGGCCCTTGCTGCAATCTTGTTTATCACGAGGTGGGTGGTGTTGCGGTTGCATGTGCAGCTTCCTTTGGCTGTGACTGCTGCTAAAATTGAGCGCAACGATCAACTCAGGAGCCTAAGTGTGTTGTGGAATTCCCGAAAGCATAGCGAAAGGTTTTCCCGATTTTACCAAGAAATCACCTGAGAGAGGGCGCTCTGAGATGTGAAGGAGAGATGTCATAGAGATAAATTGCACGTGAGATTTCTCAGAGTGTGCATGTGAGACTTCTCAAAGGGATTGCGTAGAGAAGATGGCTCGGAGTGATTGCATGTGCGATTGCACCGAAAGATGTGAAGAGATATCACGAAGAAAGTTAGTTGAGAGATTTCGCGTGAGATTGCCCCGAGTCATTACACATGAGATTGCTTGCGCATGAACACTTGCACTCGAAGACTCGCATGTGCAACTTATATTGACATGGTCCTCTAAGGCGGCGCGGCAGGACGCACCGCAGTTTGCAAGACTTGGACCGTCTTGTAGATTCGGCGTTTCGAACTATCAAGCTGAAGGCTATTTTACGACTTGTTGGGGCTACTTGTTGGGGTCCTTGCGCTCCCCTTTGCCGGGGTGGTCGCCCTTCCAAAACTGAGGACTGACTTTTGAACATCCTCCTAGCAACTGGTGCAGTCCATGCCGTTTGGTGGTTGAAATCCCAAAAACCCTGCAGTCCAATATGTAGTTTGGTGGTTGAAAAAAAACAAAAGCCTTTCGTTTGGAGCGGGGCACGTTTTGGGCGGAGTCCCTGGCTCAGGGTGCTGCACTTGGAGCGCCTGCTGGCGCCGGTGGCCTCCGCGGCGGCACGGGAGCTGCAGGTGCGGAAGGTCCCAGTGTCACCGGTGGAGGGACCTCGGTCCTGGAAGAGGCGTGAGGGATATGCCTACCATGGACATAGATCCGCACGTCTGGGGACCCACAGCATCCCTAGGGACCCGTTAGGGACCCGTTAAAGGGTCCTTAGTTCAAATGCACACTGAAATGATACGGCATCATTTTGCTGTTCTATGGATCCCTCATTTCAGGTTTCGGAGTTGTAAAATGACGGAAAGCGCTCTTTAGGTCGACAGTTGGGGTTTTCCAGCAGCAGAGGGGGGGGGTGGGTGTGGCCGCCAAGGTCCCGAGGAAAATGTTTGCGAGCGCCAGGAGATGCATCTGTGTTTTCAGGCGATGCTGGTGTTGCTAAAGATGCTGTTTCACTTGCTTTGCATGCGTTAAACTTTTGCTGAACGCATTGTGTTTAATTCTCAATTAGATTTGTAAAGAATATTATATTTGACAGGAAATCCAGGGAATTTGTTATTTTGAAATAACTATGAAAGTTCTCAGCCCTGCCCAACATCACAAACCAAAAAGACTCGTGAGAAACGAACAAGCAAGAAAGCATCTCCCATAGCTCTTTTGCACAGTGAGAGGCTACCTCTTGAAACACAAATGTGTGAGGAATGCGTGTTTTTGTATTTGATTTGTGTGGTGATGTTTGGTGTCTTCAAGTTTGTTTCAGTGTTGGCTTTGGGCAGGGCTGAACCAGTGGAAAGACTGTCTGAGGATTAATTGTTTTAGGGGTTGTGGTTTGCATGTTTAATATATATATATATATATATTATAGATGTACATATAATATAGATATACATAGTTGTGTTATAGTTGTTGTTTGTTTCCTTGAGGTTGCTCCTTTACAGATTCTTGCAATTAAACGTGTTGCCACCCTTTGCGCCGCCCCATGTTTTGTGAAAGGAGTTTGTTCGGATCCTTCAAGGTTTGTTGAACATTGGCGGGTTCCACTTGTTTCAGTCGGTTTCGTGGAATCCATCTATCTTTCAGAACGGACCGCGGCGGAGTCGGAGTTTCGCGCGGTGGGCAGGTGGGCAAGCAACGGCGACCCCATTTGCTCAGCGTGGTCGAGGCCGGTGCTGCGGGACACCTCGAAACTCATGGGTTCCATCGCTGGTGCAATGGGTAAAGCATGTGGGAATGAACACAGGGGTCCCCTTAAGGGAAACCACCAGTTGGACGGTTTTTCTCCTCATTCCCTGAGCAGCAAGCTTAGAAAAGCTATCAATCCCAACCAATATGTAGTTCCAGCGAGGCTCACTCCAACCAGAAGGGGCTCCTCTCCATTCTTTGGACACTGAGTTTCTTTCAGTTTTCCTTTGAATCCAACAAGAGTTTCCCCTTGTGGGAGCCCAACCATGGGTGCCTCTAGATTGCCCCTCCCAGATTGGGTGTTTCTCTTCTTTCCCTTTGGTTTCCGTGGGTTTTTCTTGGGTTTCCCTATGGCAGAGCCCGAGTTTTCAGGTGAACCAGGAGCGTTTGCAGCAGCACCTCGCTGCCCAAGCGCGCAGCGCCGAGAGGCGCGGATGCTTCGCTCGAGTCGTGCACCGGACTGCTGGAGTTGGAGAGTTTCTATGTTGCTACAATACGAGCACAGCAAAAGGGAGGTCTCCACCCAGTCAATGTGCTTTCTTTTGGGTGGGGTGATGCTTATATAAAGGCTACAAGGGGGTTTATCACTCGCGTCATCAGGGGTTTGCCTAAGGTCTCGTATGCCCGCGGGATGGCTTTGGCTCGTGGGCTTTGTCGAGCTCTAAGCGACTGGTGTTTCAGCCCCATTCACGTGCACAAGTGTTTCTTGTGAAGGGTACCTTTATTGGGGTGGGGCTGTTTTGAAGAGAAACCAAAGGGAACAACCCCCCATTCAGGCGTTTCTTGATTGAGACTTCCATTCTCGGACCAATCCGCATGTTCCCCTGGCGCTCGAAGGCGTTCGGAGCAGGAGCGCAGCTTCCGCCGGAGACTTGCTGGGAGCAAGAGATCAGCGGGTGTCGTGCGTTTTAAGTTTGGGGGCACCTGAACCCGCAAACTAACCTAAAAATTGAGATGTTGCTCAGATTTATGGGTGTCCGATTTGTTTAGCATTTGAGGGTCCAGGTACTTAGGAGTTTTGAAAGGAAACACCGAAAGCAATGCGTGCGCATTTGTGGGGGGTCTCTTGTTTAGACACACCTCCGCAACCTTTTGCTCATGCCCGTCTTTTGCCCTTTCTCGTCGCTCCACATCGCAAATGTTTGCCAACATATTGTCCTAGTGTTCAATCACCAGGCATGTTGGAGTGAGACCTTCCCCGTGACCAAAATATCTATACAACTGTTTGCAGTTTCAATGGCAGTGCAACAGTGTGCCCCAAAACGCCACAAACCGCACTGTGTAAAGACCAATGGAAGAGCGGCAATCTGCAAGCATCAAGCTCTCCACTGTGGCTTCGCCTTTGCATGCCTGTGCGAAGGATCCACTCAGGGTGAACCAGAATGATCAAACAAACAGGCCACATTAGAATGGATCCACCAATCAGGGTGAAGTAAAATGCTTTACCAACCTGCAAGAAACGGGCCGAAGCTAGGGACCTTGATGGGACCCGATATCTTAAACCAAGCCCCTTGTTCCGATGTCATTCGCCCAACCTAAGAACCATGGATTGAATCGAATGGATGAATCGAATGGGGAATCAACCATTAGAGCAAAGCCTCCTGACGGCTATCAAATGATTGTTAAGTTACCTCCTTTCACTTTTTGGCCGTGTCCGTCATTGGAAGGTTGCGTGAGTGAGACTTATGCATGTGCCTTTGGTGCGTAGTATCGCAGGTTGTGGAGAACCCAAGGCCCAACGTGTAAAGTCTGGGAAAATGAACCTTCCGAAACCCACCACTAACCAACCAACTCACCACCCATCAACCCCATCAACAGCTCAATACCAGGTCCGGTGACAATCAATGCTTTGTCAAGTGACCTTCCTGGGATCCCGTTTGACCGCCTTTCAGGGCGGGTGGGCTGGTGGCATAGGTGTCCTTTTTGGTTGTTTTGGCAGAAAAATAGATGACCCTGGTTTACCTGGTGGTTTAATCATCTACCATTCCCCTAAAAGGACACCTATGGCTGGTGGGTTGAGTCGTGAGGCCTGCTGTACGAGGAGCTGGACCACAGGCTCGAAGAGGCAAGAATCCTGGGGCTTGGGGGGGGGGGGTTTGGGGTGGGTTTCCACCTCCCAATGAGTTGAGGGAGGGCCCTTTCCATGGAATCGCAGGGTTGATGATAGGGGTTATGCTATTGCAAGCGTTGCAATATGTTGCAATAAACAGTTAGTATGATAAACAAATTTATTTGAGTGCAATTTGCTGACCGTTTCGTCTTGCTGTTCTGATGGTTGCTTTCTCGCGGCCGCTGCAAGCTATCGTAAGTGGCATACCGTTTAGCCTATACAACCTGACTTTGCGCCTAGTTTCCGCTTCGGCTTCTATGATTGGAGCGGGAATACGGCTCCCTTTGCCGCATCGAATACTGCTGCAGGTGAGTCTGCCCTGTTTTGGATGAAAAGCGATTTCACAGCACACGTCAGCATTTGTCCAATAAGATGTGAGGAGGAATGCTTTGTGAAGGTTATTCCAATCGCAGCTTCCGCTCCACCACACTGGGAATTGCTAGAAAGCAGCTCTTAGCCAACTTTCGAATTGGAATAATCGGCGCCGCTATTCAGCTATGTATATATATATATACATATAATATACATAATATATATATATATATCTACATATGTGTGTATATATATATATATGTTTGGGTGGTTTGTGTATGGCGGAACCACGAAAGTCAGTGCTTCAGGCACCCGTGAAAGAAGTGCCTGACGTTGCCTTTGGGGCCACGTTGCGCGCTGAACACACAGACTGGCTGGAAGTTGCCTCAACTGTCTCGCCCATTTCTTGAATACCAACTCATTCATGTCAAACATGTAACACTGTCTGGTAATACAACCAGCGTCGTCGCAACAGCAGAGTCATGGAGGATGCATGAGGATGCTGTGATTTTGACCGCAACTAGTTGTGTGAAAGTCAGGCACCCGAAAAGCAAGCTGCCTGATTGTCCTGTTTGCGCTATGCAAGCTCAAGGCCTAAACGGCCACCGGTTCGAAGAGATGATGCAGAGCTTTACATGCCGACTCTGACTGCGAAGGCCCTGGAAGTAGAATCCTTCGGTCCCCGAATTTTTGGTTGAGGATAACACAGGGGATGATGACACCACATCCACCTTGAAACCGAAGGATACCAAGACCCGCACGTGACAGAACTCGACGTACGGGCCTTACACAATTCAGCTGGTTTCCTCTGCCTCAAAAACCTGGTGGGGTTCAAGCGTGGCAGAAGAATATGTTGCTCAGAGCCTGATTGTGATAACGTGGCGGTGACTTTGGCAGTATTCATTCCTTAGGCGAAACTACGTCATAAGGTTGTGGCAAATGGTGTTTGTTCCATTTTTCATCTGCTGTATTCTTTTGGGTCTACCCCAAGACATGATCAAAGCGCCGAGTTTTAAGCACCTTACGTGGAGCCTTTGGAGGCCTTTCGGTTTTCCGCAGGCGGCACAGCGGCGCGGCCATGAGGAGGCAGCCCTTAGCTTCGGCCGTGGGTTCAGTCGAGAGGGTTGCGTGTCTAAACGAATTGCGAGTTCTAAAGGTTCAATGCAGCAAAAGGGCACCACACCCCTTTTTCGGCCCCTTTCATTTAGCGCCCATATATATATATATGTATATATGTGTACACATGTTTTCGGGTTACGTTTGTCGACTCTCGCTCGCCCCAAACATGGATATGTGTCCCTCGGACTTGGTTTTCATTGGACACAACAAGCCAACAAGAGCGGTCCCCCAGACCTCGATTCACTTTCCCAGACATCAAAGGCTCGGCTTTGTGTTGAATTTGAACGTGGAACCATCCATTTGAGGGTCTTCAAAGGATGCCATAAGAAACGAACTTTCAGTTGAGAATGCGTTGAGGCTCCATGTCATATTGGCCTACATGTTGGTAGTATCACAGCAGGCAACCACCACATGGAGCCACTGGGATGTGAAACCGCATCCTATTGACACCGTGTCTTATGGATGTTAGCGAAGGCTCTGAATGAACTTGAATGAACTCTTGCACTGTATTGGAAAAGGACCATGACAAAAGACGCTTATCATTTCTCACCCTGAACTCTAAACGTTGATGCACACAAACCAGGCCTAACCCAAAGCCAGCCAACCCACAACCACCCCCAACTTTGGAGACTTGGGGTTTAGGTTGCCACTTTCTGCACCTGCACTCCTAGTGGGAGTTAGGTGGTACGCCCCACTAGTCTAAGGCATCTACACAAAGGCATGTCACAAGAAGAATGGTCCCCCTGATTTTACCCCAAACAGGCATGTTGATCCCAGGGGTCGGTCAAATTGTAATAGGGAACCACCTCAAAAGTGGATTGGTGGACATGAATCCCTACCTAAACGATGTCCACCAAAGGGTCCCTTAGAATTCATAGCCATACTGTGGATGGACAGAATCCTGCACCACTTTGAAACCGTGGGAAACCATTTTCGTTGGTAGTTACAAGGAAAACATCATTTTAGGGTTTCTTGGGTGCGTATCTCTCCATGGAGTAAGTCTCCACCCCGGCCCCTCGCTTCGTTTTCCGCGCCTGTGGTTCTCAGGCGTTGCTTCGGAGCTGCGGGGAGCGGCTGGCGGAGCTGCAGCAGCGCCGCGCGGAGGCCCTGGAGAAGCGGCGCCAGGCGGGGCCGCGGCGCGGGGGCGCGAGGGCGAGGTTTGGGTGGAGCTCTGGGGTCTGATTTGGTGTTTTCCCCGGGGGGTTGGAGGCTTTGGGCTGCCCTGGTGTGGTGTTCTACCCCGGGGTTACTCCGAGGTTTTCTGCTCCTGGCCCTGGTGGAGATTGGATTCCTGGCCTTCCTCCGGTTGGGTGGTTAGGTTAGTGGGAACGGATGCAGTGTCACATCACTGCGGGGGGGGACCACACTAATCAGACAGGTTCGGTTTTTCCTAGTGGAAAACGCAGGGTGAGCCGTCAGTCCGCTGAACTGTGTAGAACCAAAGCTAACCCCTTGGTCGTTCGCACGAACCCCGAATTTGTTTGTAAAGGGAGCTAAGGTTCAAATCTCCAATCCAAACCACCGATGAAGTGGAACCACATGGCTTGGAGCACAGATCAATTTTGGAAGCCGACTTCCCTCAACCAACAAACAACTCTGTGCACTTCCCTGTTTGTTGGTGCTTGTTGAGAGGGCAAGCATTTCCCAGGAGGCAGGAACTGGGGTTGCAGCGGGGGGGGAAGGTGAGTTGGAAGGTGTGAGAGGGAGTTTTATAGTTCAATGCGGGTTGTGGGGCCTTTTGACTCCATTTTGCAGCTTTAAGGTTCACTCAGTGTGCACCACAAGCTAAACACCCAATCTGAACCATAGGTCGGAGGTGGGCGTTTGAAAGGTGCGAAGGTTTGGAGAGGGCGCGAAAGGAGGCCGATGAGTTCGTTTTTGTTGGGGGGGGGGGGCAGGTTCGTGGCTGGATGCCGTATGGCTGGATGGTTGCAGGGCGATGGACGGATGGATGGGAATAGAATTGATGGACTGACGGGCTGAGAAACGGAGGGATTTTTGGATGGATGGAATCATAAAGCCAGGCAACTTGCCCCTAGATCAAGCACGCTGGCATGATCATATTGTTTGTTTTCACATAGATTTACAAAGGACACTTGAACCGAGTGTGCCTGTTGCTGTGAACCATTTAACTGAGAGGCTTGAGATCATACTTTTTTTTTAGACATGTATCACCAAAGTACAGTAGTGGCATGTAGCAGCACTCAAGCAGGCCTCTTGACATGGTTTTAACAACGTTTGTCCTTCGAAATGGTCTTCTCCAGGCTCCCTGTAACTCAAGGCCAGGCGAGCTCGAATATGAAGCATTTGAAGCTGTTAGCGCTTTTGAGTGCCACACGGCAGTTGACAACATGCGACACAACGCCGCTGGAGCACAAACAACGGTGGGGTGCTTGAAAGAGATTGAACAAAATGCCGCTGCCTTGACCTTTCTCACGTGTCATTGGTGGGTTTGACTTTTCAGAGGCTTCCCCTGTTGCATGGCTTTAAAGGGAAGCCAAGAAGCCTCTCGTCATTTGGGGGGGGGGTTGCCTTATTCTGAGCGTTGAGGATTTAGCGGTTCACTGCTTGAAAGCGCTTGGCCCGGTCCTTGCTTACCAACCCATCGATCAGTCTTTACCTCTGTTCAGGAAAGTGTCAGGAGAAGCCTCCAGGAATGGGTACTTGAGATTAGGAAAAGCAACACATGTTCGTACGCGAAGGCAATTTTGGACAGGGTTGTTTTTGAGATGTCTTAAGATATCGTATTTGCCGCATGCTTGGGTGCCCCTTACAAGTGATTCCGGATTTATTTTTGAGGTATGCAAAGCTTTTCCCGCAGTGGTACAACGGATGCAAAGAAACGTTGCGACAAACCGAAACAGCCGCAACAGACTGACGTACGCGGGGCGCCCTGAGGAAGGGTGAGAAAGCAGCGACGCATCTGCTTAAGGCACGTGTGTAGCGGTGCAGCAGCATATTTAGACAACATACAACGCCTGAACAAAGACCATATTACTACCAACCAACCTTGGCAGTCAATCGAGAGGCTGTATGGATTACACACTCATCATAAGTTGTCCAATGGTATCTGGGTGAATTATAACGACCTCACACGACCTCACCCCAAATGGTGGTTTATGTGGGGAATAGCCCCCCAACCACCTTATTTCAGGTTGGCGAAATATTATAATTCATACAGATGGTATCTGAGGCAGTCAAAGTGGCGCAGTAAACTGCGCGTTGCCCAGGAGCAAGCCAATCGCCGGGCCTTGCTGCACTTCACCCAGGAGGCCACTTTGTCACATCTGGCAACTCTGAGGCCCGTCGGGACAGAAAGGGCAAGGGGCGGGCGTGTAGTTTGCCCTTAGAGAGCTTCGTCTCATTCCCTGACTTCATAGACTTTAGTCACTTTTCGGGAAGACACTTTGAGTAGTAAACAAGCAGTTTGAACCCACTCAGGAAGTGAGCTTCCTGTTTGTTGTATGCCCGTTTTGTTGAACATCTCACATCGGCGGATGGTCACATGCTGCGTGCTACTAGATCATCGACTGCGCAACATTTGCCCAGAGTCCCGGAAAGTGTCCCGGACGTTCAAGAGTTTCCATAGTCGCCCTTCATACCGTGCTTGGATACGGTTTGAGAAGCGGCCGATGCAGATCCTCATGGAGTGCTCCAGTTTGGTGGTTGCCTTTGGGTAGATTGGAGCGCTTTGATCCGCATGGTTGTTTTGTCCTCAGTCGACTTCTTGGGATGTTGAGGGAGGCAGCCGGGTGCGTCTCTAGATTGCAGGAGCCGCATTGACTCGCTCCCCTCTTTTCAGGAAGTCTGTCGTTCGAGTTGTTCCGAGTCTAATTCATTCGAGCGCTCTCCGCATCATGTTCAGTGTCAAATGCACATTTGCCACATTGTGCCTCAAACAAAAAATGCAAACTGCAACGTGCATTTGCAAGTTGCGCCATCATTGTTTCACAGATGTATCCTGAATCTGAGCTAATTTACATTTGTCCTTTATGTAGAACATTACCAGTCTCTTGGCTGTGTTCTGCCCAGCAAAGGAGACCTTATTTTGGGCCAGGGAGTTGACACTCCTGGCCCCCGAAACCTCAAGTCTTTCCAAGGCTTGGGAACATCTGCCATAAGGGTGTTTTTTTTTGGGGGGTGCGCGGGGGTGTGCGGGGGTGGCGGTGGGGGTGGGGGTGGGCGCGGGGAAGGAGGGTGCTTGTAGCCTGCCAACCATTCCTTGAGATGGATTGGAAGGTGTAGTGTTGGCGGAGGCCTGGCAGCTTGGGGCATGGTTGAACGAATTGCGCTGGCTGTAGACATGTTGCCAGTAGAATGGGAGTTTAGCCAAGCCCCCATGCACACACTGGATGGATGTTCACAAGCTGTCTCATATGCAAGCCATGAACCAAGAGGCTCGCGCGTGCTCGAGCGTCTTGCATAATTATATGGCTGGCTCTAGCTAGGCTCTGTTTCTTGGAGAGGGATTGTCTCTGGAGATGTGTGTGCATGTGTTTTGAGTTCCCGACGCGGACACGAGATGTATATATATATATATATATGAGTGGTTTCCTGGGGCCGCCTAGCCGAAAAAGCTACCCATGGCTACCCGGAAAGACTCACTCATCTATTTGGCCAGGTCCTCATACGACCAGGAGATGCAGGAGATAGGACAGATCAAAGAGGAGGTGCTTCGGCTGGAATGTGCTGGGTGGATCTGGGCGCGTCCGGCACCGCCGAAAAGCGGCCTTTCGTGATCCTTTTCCTGGAGCGGAGAGTGAGTCTATTGTGAGGTGCGTTAACGGAAAGTGTGAGCCTATCAGGTGGTGCTTTTCTTTTCTGTGTCCCATCCTTCTGCGCTTGTTGTTTGCGTGTTCTACTTGTGTCTAATAGCTTGTGATGAGCCTTTCACTCTTTGACAAAGGGTGACTCGGCTCTGAGTTCAAGCCGGTATTCCAAGACCTGAGAAAACTTCAGAACAAACATGTTGCAACCCTGTCACATGGCTTGCAACAGCCGTTTCTCACAATCAGAGATGTCTCCGCGTCATTGGCAGTCGTTTGGTTTCAGAGATACAATCACTAGCTTGAAACAGAGCCATGTTTCGACGCATTCTTCTAAACCACCAGGCCCCAAAGCATCAAAGGCCCAGTTTCGGATTGGCCATTTTCCTCCTTTGCTTTGTTTCCTCCAACGGCTATGGGTGAATCCGCCAATCCGTTTGGGGCGGCTTTGGGGCGAATTCGAGGATTCTGGAGTTCCGGGAAGGTCCCGTTCTGATATCTGTTGGAGATATCAATTAGTCTTATTTCTGCAATTGCCCCTTTTTCTTCGTGAGCTTTTATCAATGGAATACACAGGCTAGCCTTTGTTGGTAGCTTCGAGAATGTTCAGAAGCAGCAGGCAGCAAACATATCATCTGTGACCGTGTTTCCCATGATGTTTCATATTTGTTCGTTCAGCGTGCCGAAACGCATTGCATGACGCAAGCCTCGGCACACGCAATCCGGTTGCGACATATAGGCTCCAATTGTGCGTGATGCTTGGAAGCAGATTTATCACACAGAAGGCCAGTAAATGGGGAATATCACCAAAACAACCCGCTTTTTGCAATGCTTATGCCAATATGATGGTAGGCAGTTAAGGGTCATTTTATGTCGCTTGGCGTTTCGCTCCTAGACCTCCTTTGGCTCTGGGATTTAGAACCGGGTGTGACAATGGTTTAAAAGTTCAGACAGATAGACGGTGTTTGGGACCAACAGAATGGTGTTTGAACGAGAGTGGCTCAGTCCCATGTTAGCAGAAGGAATCCCCATCTACCTCTGGTTCTGGGAACGGGCGTTTCCTGAGGTCGGAGACCAGAAAGCCACGCAAATGTTTTGATTGCCTTTGGGTTTTCTTCAATTCCCTTTGTGAAACAAGTGCTGATCACAGGGTCAACCCTGGTCGTCAGGCTCATCTATCGCCAAGATGTTCCAATCAATTCGCTACCCCTATGAGCCTTAGAGTTTTCTTAACCCCCCCTCCTTTTTATATAAGCAAGACCTGGTCACAGGGCTCAGAACCCCTAGTCATGGTGCGTATCTATCGCCCGCGAGTTGTGAAGAAGCAAACTTGTACCCCCGGATCTGTGAGAGCCCTACACATGACCCACCACAGCAAAACTGTCTACCGTCTATGGGACAAACGATCGCGTCCCTTCGAGACTCCCATGAGAACCCCCACGCTTGTGCTATTTTATTGAACCCCGTAAACCTCGCTCGTTGAATCCTTTTTGAGACTCCCCACGGCCTGGGGTGAGTACTCTGCTTGGACGGACGGTTCGCCTTGGGGCTGATTGCTTTCTATTTGCCCTTTCTCTTTGCCAGAACACATCAAATGGTTTTGAACGTGACATCTATAGTTTTTGGGAAGGGGCCTATTTGACAACCACTGCCGGGTGCCCGCTTCTCTTAAACCCTTGCTTTCCTCAATTCTTGCTCGCTTTGCCACCTTTGCCATGTGTTACTTTCACAAGTTGTTCCTTTCCTTTTTACCCATGTGGGTATTGCTCAAAAATAAACAGCTGGGGTTACGCAGGTTTTAGTCTTTGGTTCCATTTACCAAGGTGCCATTTTGGCTCCACTTCTTTTTGCGCCACAGCTATGTCGTGTCCATGTTTTCCCCGTTGCCTGCTACCCCCCCCCCCCTTTTGCCCTAGGGCGCCCTTCTGGCACACCAGCAGAGCGTGGCGCTGCTAGAGGCCGGCCAGCCAGACTATGTCTCTGGATGTTTCTCAAAATGGCTATGTCTTAAAACGTGCCCGTCAAAAGTGTTGGTTTCTTTATGGTGATTTCCCTGAAACGCCCCAAATATGTGGGGTTCCCCTAAAGGGGGACCCATATTTGGGGTCCCCTTTTGATTGTTTAGGAGAAACCAAAAGGAAATCAACCAGGATGGTGTTTCAATGTTGCCAAAGAGCAAAGGGGATAGATATATGAAGTCTTTTTTTGCCCGAGCCCCCCCATTTTGCACCCAGTGTGGGCAATGGCCCAAGTTCAGGCAGGTACCTCTGAGCCGCTTAGAGCCTTACTAGAGCCAGGAAACTGGGGAGAACAGGAGAATGCAAGAGGCTTGTAAGTGGCGGGTTGCCTACCGGGAGGTAGCGGGAAATTGCCTTGAAGTATAGCACCCTTGTGGGTGCGGTTCCCCATACTTGGCCAAGTATGGCCTTAGCGCCCCAAGGGATGATTGGGCGGCTTCGCATTTGCAAGTGAGCCCTGCAGATTGCGGACTTGCCGGAGATGGAGGATCTTGCCAGCAGCCTTGAGGCCAGGGGCTCATGTGCATGACTTTTTCAAGCTGGAGGCTTCCTGTGAGTTCTTTTCACACCATCCCAACTGCCCCCTATTTTCAGAAAGGGAGCAAGTCACTAGGTCGTTAGTGTTGAAAACAACTATCTATTGGCTTGGCCTAACGTTTGTTGCGCCACGAGGATGAATCTCATACACGGTTTCGGAACCTTTGTCTCTCTGGACAACACACACGTTGCTTTCGACCTCCAGCTTATATTATTTTGTCGCATGCGCGGAGACGTTGGGTTCTATTGTAAAAACAATCGATCCCTCTGCGAAAGGTTTGATTCTGTCTGGAAGATTTATATTTCTCTCATGTTTATTTCGCCATGGGAAACTTTTCGGAAACCCGAAACATTTGCAGGAGAAAACTTGCACGAGCACACTTGCGCGAGAAAACTCGTGTGATCACACTGGTGCGAGGAAACTTGCACAAGCACGCTTGCACGAGCAAAGTTGCACGAGCGCTCTTGCGCGAGAAAACTCGTGTGATCACACTGGTGCGAGGAAACTTGCACAAGCACATTTGAACGAGAAAGACTAGGACACTAGAGAAAACCTGCACGAGCGCACTTGCACGAGCAAACCTGCATTTCACGAGATTCTTATTTTATTTTTTTAGGCGGCATGGTGGGACTGAATACTTGTTTGGGTGCCCGCGCAACCCTCTGCGAAGATTGGCGTGATCGATGGGAGGTCCATATTATGTTTTTCCCCCATCCCTGGAATGTGTGCCTTTGACACGAATCTTTCTTCACGGGTGCCCCCCTCCTCGCCTCTTCAACACGCAGTTTGTTTGGAGCCTGCGCTCCAAAATGGAGCCCTGCATTAACTTCACGTGCCATCAGATTCTCTGATCAGAAACCCTACAGCCACTCAACTGTGGGCATTCAAAATCCAATCGGGTACGGGTTGTGCTGGCCCTGTCTGCGATTTGGTCCTGTAAGATAACCATGCGCATGATTTGCTCATGTCAACGGTGAACACGTTCAAGAACACACACCCATCCGAATAATCGTTCTGCCTGCAAGAGACAACGTGAACATGCAGTTGTCAAGCTCTATATAAACCTCGAGTTTCTTCAGTGCAAAATAGCGCATGGGACACGTAAAGCGTAGGGCGTCCAGCTCCTAGGCGAAACGAGCCAGCCTCCAAGAGGAGATGCAGATGCTGCTGGCCGGGTGCCGACAGAC